TGGTATTTGACGGGGGTCAAATGGAGTCTTTTATAGCAACTGACTGACAGCAAGCGTCGGGAAAAATAAAAAGTCAATTCTCGGATTCGAACCCACCCTCTAACGATTTGATAACCGCGAGCTTAACCACTCGGCCATCTCAGAGATACTGCTCTTGCTGTTTATATTAATTAAGGAGATAACAAAGTCATTCAACTTATTGCACAGAATGTTGCAAAGAATGTGAGTGATTGAAACGTTATCCGCCCTGAGCCGAAGTACACCCTCACCGGCGAAAGAAAGACAGGTGACAATAAGTTTTCCAACCGGGTTCTAACACGCGTTCGACGTGCACGTATAATTAAAAATCGCTGCGCGTACTCAGCGTCCTCCGCGTCAACGCGCATAAACTTGCGAACCTATTCGGTGCGTGAGTACTAAAGGACTGTCGATTTCATTTCAAAATGCACCCTCTGTTATTCATGCTCGGAGCGGATATAATTGAGGCCAGCGCCAAGGGGTTACAAGCATCAATCGCCATTTGCATGGAGCCATGGAACCCGAAGTTAACGCACAACTTCTGCGATCGTCCAATGGGAGCCTGCAAGTCGTGGCGCGTCCGCCTTTGTGACGAAGTCACGAACGGGATAGGGAGTGCGTACATCCCGCTCTTTGAAAATGCTGCACGCGGGCACGGTACACCACCTCAGCTGAAAAAAGGAGAGTTACTCACATCCTTTTTAATTTAATTTTTCATGGTTCACCATTGCAATGTTTCATCTGAAACCCAATCAGAAAGTGAAAAGAGGTCAGACAGAATTGCATACTCATCATGCAGTCATATAGCCCTTCAGACCGATTAAAAAACTTCATTTAAGAGAGATGTGTGCTGAAATTCCGCGGTGCACCGTTCACGATGCGCCTACCTAATCCCATTTTCAATGGCCAACTTGCCTATTGTTGTTCATACTTGCAAGCAGCAATCCCACTCATGCAAATTGATTATGGACCCTTCCACTGAAAATAATCCTGTACCGATGGGTGATCATGACCCATAGCTCCTGTATCAATAAATATGAAATAACTATGTATTTCCATATACTTTCTTGGGGGGGGGGGTAAGCTTCTGACAGGACACATTACCACACCTTGCCTATAATAATCACTATTTATTCCTTTCCATAACCATGTAATGCTTACTGCATCACACGGCAGCGCCCGAAACAGCAACGCCGCAAACCCCAGCCCTCCCAGGTAACACGTACAGACCTACACTCATGACACCCATTGTCCACTCAGACAATCCGGGACAAAATAGTTGGAACACCTTGTGGGAAACGCGGTGATAACATCTCCCCTCTCCCCCATTCAATGTTGCAGTCGTTTATTGGACCAAGATTCCGTCCAGCTTACCCAATGAGAAACAACATTGACAGGGGGCGAGGGGGAGGCATGTTCCAGCGAGATTTGTCTACGATTGTAGGAGCTCCTTCTGAATTGGACTGGTTCTGTGGAACAACGGCTGATAAACAGACTACGTGGAAGGAGGTGAATTGGACCAAAGATGCATAGCGCCGCAGCTATACAATTTTTGAATTGGACTAATGACAACAGCATTTATGCTCCCCGCACATACAAACCCCCCATAACCACAAACACTGACTGTCTGCTTTTCATATGCAGCAAGGTATGAGACAGAGAGAACCCCCCCCCCGGTTTTGTGTTGGTCATTGTCTCGCACGAATCTGGGGAATTCCTTTCAGATATCTTGGGGGGGGGGAGTGTTAAGTAACAATAGTCTGGAATGTGTATAGGGATTGGACANTGTTGGGGGGTACCCCTCGGTCTCATTTCTTGCTGGGTATAAGAAAAAAAGCAAACAGGCTTCCGTTTATTTTCTCACTAACCAAACAGTAATATTTCTAAACAAAACATACAAGTTGGGGGCAAAATGAGACTGGTCTATTTCCACGAAAGTTCCGTCGCAAAAGAAAATCCGCGTATATACGATTTCTTGAATGTATTTTTATTTTCATTTTAGCTCGAAATCGATGGCACGTCCGCAATCCTGTATTCCTGTTACCCAAATAAAATTATAAGAAGTATCCGCCACTAAAACAATCCTAGAAGAGTACTGATATACACATGAGCACCCTACTGCATAATACCATTTTGAACTTGGGTGGCTCCAAATTTGTCTAAGTTCCTCATTAATAATATAAGCTTGTAGTTCGGTTCGTAGCTTCCACTTGTTTTTACAAACCCTCCAGTCCTCTAATAGAGGCTTTGCGTGGTAGTCTGCAGACTGGTTCGTGCATTCAATGCTAATCAGATAGCACACGAAGAGGGCGCTGCACTCAAGTCCATCCAGTTAAAAGAAAACAAGAAAAGCCTAGATGCCGTGTGGTCGTCGTTACAATCGAACCTCGTTAATTAATAAGAGCAGTGTTTATACATGATTCCGTTTTTAACGAGGACAATTTCAGGTCCCAATTCTCTGTTTTCATTCCTGATAATACAAGGTTCCTATTCCTATCACCTATAACAAGGTAATTTACCAAGCACGAGTTCCAGATTGTAGTTCAGAGATGGTTAAATGGTTATGGATGTCAAAAGCAAACACTCGGACCACATGAAAGGAACGACACTTGCGCAATGAGGCTGTTTCGCGGGAAGTTCAATCACACAATTGTTTAATGTTACCATAAACATGAAACCAAGAACTAACTCCAACCCACTTGCTTGCTAGTATGGCCATCAATTAAACTTTACAGTTGCCAAATTAAATTAAGATGCAAATAAAATAAATCATGTGTTGTATGCACCGGAGGGTGATGTCAAATCTTTCAGTATCGCTTCTTCCCAAGGAGCTACTGGTACGCATGTATTTATCTATACCAGAATGTCTGCAACGGCAGTGAGTACATGTACATGTATACGGACACAATGAGAATGTTTGCGGAACTAACGTCTACATTTGATGGTTTGACATTTGGCCAGTAAAAACTACACAAAAGCTCCATACGGTGGAGATTACATCGGCCTAAGAGAGTTCTGAACACTAATCATTGTTTTGGTGTTATTAACAACCACTCCAGGCAGTCTCCTCGTGTGAGCAATTGTAGAAGTTCAGTTGTAACAAAATTTAGGATCAAATATTCCTAAGCAATGGGAGAACAAGAAAATCATTGGGAACCTCACTTATTAAAATAAAAAGTACAGCAAAGAAAACTGTATTAATCTGGTAATTCAAATAAAATCTTCCCACTGACTTTCAACTTTCAAACCTATAACTATTTACTTTGACATTGCTCAGTAATGTGCAAAACTGGATTTGTACACTAATTCAATTTGATTTTGATTTTTCAAATCATTAAAGTTTGGTCTTCTGGTCTACTGATTCAATCAAGGGGAAGTAAACTCCTGTGTGATCTAGCCTGGGAATTCGATGCACAAAGCCATTTCATATTCACACATCCTCTTCTTGTAAATATCAACTCTTAACATAAACGAAGTTATAAAGGGATTAAAATGCAATCCTAGACTCTGGCCTCCTGAGTAGGTCCAAGAAAAACAGTCTTTCCTTCTCATGTGCTGCTAACATGCACCATATTCATCTTTCAAACAAAACACAGCATCTTTAAGAGTCTTAATCTACAGAGCAAACAGAATCAAGAAAGCTACCATGAGACAGAAAAGCCCCATGGCTTCAGATAACGCAAACCCCAGAATGGCGTAAGTAAATAGTTGCTGCTTCAATGAAGGGTTGCGGGCATAACCAATGATGAAACTGCCAAAGACCGTTCCGATACCAGCTCCTGAACCAGCCATACCCACCGTGGCTGCTCCGGCACCAATGAACTTAGCGGCAGCCTCAACATCTTGCTGTACAGCGGTCGTTTGAATGCCGCGATTAAGAACCTGCGGTGAATAAAAATGACTCAACCGTTAAATCACAGGCCTAACTTAACTGATCAATTTACAATGAAATTCTAGGTGTGTGATGACTATTATGTACATGTACTTCCACCACTAGCATTTAAATTCTCTGTTGAACCAGGAAGACTACCATTCCATGCTGTGCTATGCAAGCTAAAATTGTCATGTGTTATGTACTCTTATCAACCTTTTTTTTTCCCTGGATTCACCGCAGATTGAAGTTTCCTTTTTGCAAAGCACTCCCATTGTTGGCAATGACACTTGAATAGTGTTTAAGGTTCTGAAGATCTTTCCATTCAAGGACAAAAAGTAAGGTTCAGAGATTCTCAACAGAAGGGAGGTTGTTGTCAAAATTCTTTAGGCTAAGTAAAAAAATAGTTGTGCTTCTGGTTACCCGCCCCAACCAAGCAAATCAAATGTTTTTATTAAAAAATGAAAATAAAAAATACTGTTACCCACCCTGAAGTTGTGCTTAAGTCAAGGGTGTGTGTGCTTATGTCTTTTTTGTTGGGTATACTGAATTTTATTTTCCACTTTTTTGCCATTGACAGGCCAAATTTTCCCCATTTTCTTCCTTGCGCAAGGGCTGATTTTCTGGTTTTTTGTTTTCAACCGATGCAATGCCACGGCTAGGTCAAACTTTGCACGTACTCGTTCAGACATCGAACAGTACTGGAGCTCCATAATCCACACAACTAAATCTGCTGTATGTACATGTACAGTACGTGGGTATAGTGATATGTATCTGTGTGGCTCAAAGTACAAGCCTTGTGTGTGAACAGTATCCGAGGACCATCCGGTCATTGAGTTGTAATTGGCTGCCAATGAATATTCACAGGTGTCAGTGAGACTCATTACAGCCATTCCTGAGTGAGTGAAAGTTGTGACTAACAATCTCCACTGTAACATGCAGTAGCACACATTTGACTTTGAATTTACGGCTTGAAATAAGGTTAGTACATTTTCGCTTTCACTGATTATTGTGTCATGCATCACTGCACAGGCTGTAAGTGCTCTACGTGCATCATTTTGTTATCGAAATGTCAGTGCAACAAAAATGCACAATTGTCCAAAGAGGCTCTAATTTGGGCAATGTTTGACAAGACCAATCCTCAAAATATGAATCTGTGGAAAAAACAATGGAAGTAATACACCATGGACCATCACAATCACAACTTAATTTTAAAAAAATATTAATTTAAAAAAAAAATTTAATTTTTAATTAAACAATTTCACCTCCCTAAATGTTTTGACCCAAAAACTTAAGAAAAAAAAAGATACTACCCACCAAACCAATTTTTCTTTCAACGTAATAGGAAGCACAACTTTTTTTGTTTGGCCTTACAGCATAGTCAATACTAACAATGCCAGTAAACCAGACCATTTTCAGTATTATTTCAATATTATTTTTTAACTGAAGAATTATTCAATCTATTAATTGGAAGCAATACAGACTACATGTACAGAACTAAGATATCTGATCTAAACTAAGCAACTTTAATTTGGGGGTTTTAGGTTTGTACAAAGAATTTTGAGAATTGGCAAAAAAATGCAAAGAATAGCACAACTTACCTGCTGAACTAGTGCTCCAACATTTGTTGTAGGTGTTGCTACAGCACTGAGACCAGCAAGACCACTGTATGTTGCCAAATTACGCCTCGGTGCACTGAAAAGACAAAAATGAAATTCTTCACGTAAAAATGTACCTATAACTGTTCAGGACAACTGTGATAAGGATAAAGCCCAAAGCTTTGGAACACAGTACCATCAAGCATTAGATCACAGAACACAATATTAACATTCAGGAAACACTTTAAAATAGCATCTTTTTCCAATATATTTCATTATGTGTTGCGCAGCGCCATGATCTAGATGGAATGGTGCTATATAAATCTTGCTATTATCATTAAGTATTCTGAATGAAGTCAACTTCAAGAGTAATCATCCCCACCATCCTTCCCAATTTTTAACGGCTCCACTGGTAATGAGACACTTTCACATGACCAATAACCATCTGATTGAAGCAGAACAAAGTATCAAAACCAAGCTTGACAGTAAATCTAACTCAGGGACCATAATGTAGGAGACATTACTACCAAGGTACCATTTACAGGTTGTATGCATGTGTTCAATGCCTCTCTGACAAATAAGATGCTGCGGCTTGCCCAAAATGTACACTTACTGGAGAACACAATTTGGATACACACACAAGTACGCTGCCGTTGCAGTGTTACCATCTCTTCAAGTGAATCTTAGACAGCTAAACCTTTGACAGTTCTGGGATTATTAACCCTAACCCTCCTCAATCCTTCACCTGTTGGAGGACTGAGGAGTGTTAGGGTTAATATGGACATTTGCTCATCATATATTAATGGGCTATCCTGATGTTTCATGTTGATTTATGTTAAACATGGATATTAACTGGTATACTGTTATAAAAGAAGTAAGCTGTCATTTGATCTCCTTAAAGTAGACTCTCATCAGTACGAGGGCCTTGGGACTTCCAAATTAGCTCGTATTATCCGGACCTCGTCTTATGCGAAAAACTGCCATCCTACTCGACGTATATATCAACGATCGACCATAGGTAAAAGCATACATGCGTACAAGTATGCATAACTGTTTGTTTAAAGGCACATAGTATCGTTTTGTTACATGAATTTGATTTTTAAAAGTTGGTTTATGAAAGTGAGATACAGTTTAGTGAGTAACGACTTGTAGAAAAGAATAATTATAAAATGTAAGAACGGAGGAAGCGTAATTTCCACCAGTCATGTCCATTTCCGGCCCTGCACGCCATGATGAGATCCACATGCACACACGTAACCTGAGTACATTAACATTTTAGTTGGTAAACAACACCAGAGCTTATTGCACATACAAATAGCAGGAAACCAGCTATTGGTGGTGAGTGGTGTGGCAGCAGAGGGCAAATATCAGAATTTACTTGGGAAAAGTGTGTAGGTCTGGTGAAAAATTATTAGCAAGGGATACACATTTTTCTTCCGAACTTGTAGTTATTTTCTTAAACATTTTTGGACTGAAAACTACAGTTTAGTCATGATTTTCTTAAATTGAGAATTTGTAGAAATGTCAAAATCAGAAGGGGTGATATTTTTATGTTATGGTGGGGACTGGGGAGCGGGTAATGATTTTTAGACGGAGGGTGGGCAGTTTTTTGGGCCGGGTGTTTAGTTACAGAACACAATTTTTATTAGATTCCTGGGGGGACTTTTGTCTTGGGGAATTTTGGGGGGGCGGGGGAATCAAACAAAAGATTTCTTTTGTTCACCACTGTCCTAAATACCGAAGCACTTATAGCAGCACTAGCTTCCGTTCAGGCGGTACGAGAGCTGCCCATTCTTCCTCTCTCTTGCAGCACCGGACACAAACAGCTTGATTTGATGAGGGAAAATCGCAGCGCTGTTCTACTGTACACGCATAAATTACGGAAGGGCCTTTCAAAATTGAATGGACAAGCTGATTGACAAGTTGCCTTCAAAAAAGCTTGTGCTAAATAGAGATTTGCACTCGGCCATTGAAAAAAAAAAAGCTTGTCTTAACTGAAATCTCGTAACATCCGAGCTCGTATTACACTTTTTTCCCTCATAGGAATGAATACAATTCAATCGGGACTGACAAATACGCTCGTCTAAACTGGGGTTTCATCTTACCCAACTATGGATAAGGAAAATTTATTTTTAGTTACATTCAGATGTTACAGAAAGGCAATAATCAAGCTTTACCTTTTTGAGTTTTCTTGACTACTTAGACTGCCGAGTGGCCTGACAAGGACTCTGGAGCTTCTGGCAATCTAGACAATAAAGAACACAAGATACACACAAGTTTGAATCTGTTGATACAAGCTTTCAACTAAGTGTCAAATGCAAACAGAAATATGTCTGTGGATGGGTCCATGAACATAACTGTAGTCTCTGATCCAGCAGATATTATGAGCACACTGAGCTTTAACTGACTTTGCACAGGTATGTTCACTACTCACAGGGTAAACTATCCCCTTGGTTGCTAATTGCAGGAAACTTGCCTTTTCCTCACTTGGAGGAAAAATGTTGTCTATTTGTTGCCGTTTTGCCACTTCAGACAAATTTTGGCCTAACTTGTACATTACAGACTCTTTTGTATGTAATGGTAGCCAGTTCAAGAGCCTGTCTAGTTTGCACGCAGACTTCAGCTCTTATGAATTTTGTTCAGATCTGCGAGAGTACCTGTCGATCTAAGTAGTCGTGGAAAATTATGGCTGTTTTGAGTCACAGCTAATACGCTCTCTGTGATGTAACATGAAAGTGACGAAACAGCCATCAGTGTTGTGCAAGTGGGGCAAAATTCGTCCGGAGTGGGAAAATAAAAACAAATAGGCGACTTGTTTTCCTCTAAACAAGGAAAAGGTGAGTTTTTTGCAATAAGCCTTGTCGCAAATACTGCACGGATGATTTTACGCAACGGTAGAAAGGCACTGTGGGAAGGAAAAAGGAGCAAACACTGCCCCTTTTTCCTTCCCACAATGCCTTTCTACCTTTGTGCAAAATCACCTATGCAGTATTTGTGCTGAGGCTTAATAGCAATCTAGGGGATAGTTTACCCCGTAAGCAGTGAACATACCGGTGCAATTTCAGCTCATAAAATCAAGCGGATGTTTAGTTATGCCCCTGGATATCCGGAATAAAATGTTTCGAAAGAAATCCTTATGAATCGGGACAGGGCCCAGATCATTGTATACAACGGGGGAGTACATGGAGTAGGCTATACGCCAGGCCCTGTTTACGGGTCTAACTAAACTATTGCCGGACCATGTCAAAATGTCACCATAGGCGATTCGAAGAGTACAAGTTACTCGGCCTATGAGCCCAGGGTATGGAGGCAGTTCAGTATCTGGGCCCCATTTATACCTTTTTAGGGCTACAGTAGATTCCTGTTATAGCGCTCCCTCATATAAAGCTCTTACAGATATAATGCTCTATTTTCATTTCCCCAACTGCACACCCATTCACTGTGTACATTTTTATGTGGTTATAGCGCTCCCGTTTACAATGCTTTTCAGGATGTAACACTCACGATTTTCGGCCCCGAGAACCATAGAAAGCATGTGAAACGATTCCGGTTACAACGCTCTTTACCTTGAAAAGTCAGAGTATTTGAAAAATCGCCGAAAACGCTGCACGAGGCCACTGTGATTGGCCGTCCACTGTGACACCAGTTGTGTTCAACCGATCGCACATGTACTGTACATGCACTGTACATTTACACTGTACGTGTACATGTATATGTATGTACATTTACATGTACATAGTGCAGAAACGTTGCGGCTTGGCGCGGGTGTACCCGAATACCGTCCACAGACTTGGTGTCATGCAGAGCCGTGTTGTGCTGGTTCATGTACATGTACCGGAACATGTATACAAATACAACTTGGTGTGCGTCTGCTGAGCATTTACATGCAGTGGTTTCATTTCAAGTCTAAAATGTAGGCACGTATTGTACATAATAGAGATGACCCCGACGTTGAACGCAAAGCTTTAGTTTATTATCGCATTCCCTATTAACCATGCATTGTCTTTGGCTCATGTGCTTAACTTTTATACATGACCTCCTCAATACTGATGCGTCATTATCAATTAACTTGTTTATACTTCAGTGTAATAATAAACAAATTTTAAATGATCCTTTTTGTATGATAACTGTTACAGTTTTTTAGTTGAAATTCTGGTGTACTGTTTTTCACATGTACATGTAATTAACCATCATGAATTTAATGTCTTCAACCTGCGGGCTGCTTTTACAATGTATTCAGATACATGTAAAATAAATCCTGAATTAAACTGATTAACAAGACTAACATCGATCAACGGCCCAGTTCCTCCCCTCTATGAAAAATAAATCAATCAAAAGTAGTGCTTCCTGACGTTTCGAACTTATGTACATGTACATGGGTAGCAAGTTCTTCAGAGGCTGATTACATAATTTTCTTTTTCACAAAAAAATCTTGAGTTTTCTTCCTTAGAGCACACGTTTCAAATCACAGGCCTTGACCCTTCAAAGAATTTTTAAAAATTTGTACCCTCCTGGCTCCAAGGACTTGAAGTGGTACCTCCTTCCTTTTTGTCATCTTTGATATTTTTCAGACCTCAACACTTTTTTTACTTATAAACCAAACTTTTTTTTACAGACATGACGCAATTTCCGGTCATATACATGTAAACAAATAGGGAGCTCGGGTGGCGAACTGCACCGTACTAATATGGCCACACACAAGAGGAAGTCATCCATTCAACAAAAACCAGAAATTTTGGATTCCTACGATCAGAATGTCGGCAAAAAGCAGTCAGAGGTTGCCAGTCAGATGGGAATGGCACCAAGTACCCTGAGGACTATATTGTTTGACAGAAAAAAAATTGAGGAAATAGCTGGACAATCCAAATTTGCCTCGGCTTGGAAACAATTTCGAACGGCCAAGTATGGAGATATTGCAGCTGCTCTACTAATTTGAATCCAGCAAGCAAGAGCCAACAATGTACCAGTCAGTGGTCCAATCTTGCATACTAAAGCCGCATCCCTTGCTGAGCAGTTCGGCTACAGTGCAGAAGATTTCAAATGTTCAGGCAGATGGCTTTCAAGATTTAAAGAGCGGCATGGCATCATATTTCGCCAGGTGTGTTGAGAGGCTTCAGCAGTCAAAGATGAGTCTGTGGAGCCATGGCTTGCCCAAACACTCCCTGACATCCTCACCAAATACAGTCTGTGTGATATCTACATCGCCACTGAAACTGATCACACTCTTGCTGAAAAGGGAGAAACATGCTCAGGATGGGAAAAAAGCAACGCAAGAGTCACCATTTTGGTTGCAGGAAATATGGATGGTTCCAAATGACTACCTCTTCTTGTCATCGAGAAATGCGCAAAACCACGATGTTTCAAGAAGACAAAACACTTGCCGGTGAAATTCACAAGTCAAAAAAATGCCTGGATGACATCAAGCCAATTCTCGACATGGCTTGTTAAGCTTGACAAACGTTTCCGGACGAAAAACCTGAAAATCTGTATGATCGTTGACAATTGTTTTGCCCATCAAAAAGTATTTGGCCTTAAGAACGTAACACTTAAGTTTCTCCCGCCAAACACAACCGCAAAACTTCAACCATGTGACCAAAGGATCATCCAGAATTAGAAGAGCTTCTACCGATGCCGTCTCTTGGAGAAAGTCATCCACATCATCGACAGCAGGGCTGATCTAGAGAATATCAATAAGATCAGCTTTTTTGATGCCCTCCACTTGCTATGATCACCGTGGCAAGCTGTTTCCAAGGAAACAGTTGCTAACTGTTTCTGACATGCTGGATTTGTGCTCATGCCGTCAGCGATGGATGAGCCAGGCAGTGGTGAGATAGCATTGCAGCTGGTAATCCTACCGATGCCATTCCTGAAGTCAGAGAAGTTGATGCCGCAGCACGGGTGATGCAGAGGCCTCTCAGCATCCATGACACAAGCAGCTGGCATACGACAATGTGTTTACATGTTCTTGTGCTTCAAGGTTATTTGTTTCGATGTACACATAGGAGGGGTTAACAAGTTTTCCTGATTCTTGATGTTCAATCAAGTATGAATTAAGAAAATTTTCATCTGAATGTTAATTATTATGCATATAACAGCAAGAGGGATGTAAAACTCACAAGTGCAAGATGAAATGCAAGTTGTCCGAGTATCAGCAGCTCGGACTCCCACAGAATTCCTTCGTAATTTACCTGTCTGTTTTATTTGACTCTTGGAAATTCATGTCTGTCTGGCAAGTAGATGTAATATTTTAACAAAGTGTGGTAATTTTAGACCTTGTACATGATGTATCCCTTATTTGCTATGTCTGCCCCAAAACCAATGAATTGTAGGGCCTACTGGCCATGCAGGCCAAGTTCCGATCAACACATGCCATGCATGCAGACTATTTACGGTACCGTGTATACACTGTACCTACCGATACATGTACACATGTAAATGCAATGCACATACATGTACATATGCCTATGTACATGTGCACGTGTCCAGTCGGTTACAGCGCTGTGCAGTTCGGTCCCTCTTGGAGCGCTATAACGGGAATCTAGTAGTAGTAGTTCTAGGCCTACTGTAAAACCAGACGACCGTCATCAGGTCATGATCTTCATGGCCGTGATGGCTGTGAACGACAGAACGTGCAAATTGATTTGAATAGAAACATCTTAAACATAACTTTGAGTGTCACGTAGACGTAACTATCAGCATATACCTACCAGTGCCTGTGTAGCTGGTGTGCATAGTTTAGCGCAATACATGTTGAACAAAAGGGTATTTAGAACGCTCGACGACGTCTGCAAATTCAAGAATTGAGGACGTAGAAATTAGCAGAGCCCGGCAAATGGCACACGTTTTCCGATATCTTTTAGAAATGAAGTACACTTTCACTTCTAGAAATACATTAAATGGTGCAAAGAAAAAAACAAACACTTTAAAGGTTTGCTGAGAAAAATGTATTTTATGAATGGATGAAGCAAAATTTCGAAGGATTCTATAACAAATGGGCACAGGACTCTACTCACCTAATTTGCAACCGGCGAAGGAGGACACTGTTACGCATGCGCACACGTACAGACTCACAAATAGCATGGTTCCGCTACGAGGGCCAATAAAGTTTCACACAAGAATAGATATTATCTGTTCAGCTAGAATGAGTCGCTGACTTGACCTCCATATTCTCGCGCGTTACTAGAATCATTCTAGAGTTTGCATGAAAAGTGTCATTTTTGTCTTTATTCGAAATAACTTCCCGGTAAGCATTCATTTCATTTTGGGTGTAGTAGTTTTACATTTTAAAGAGAACCATTTTAATTCTCTTGGTTTTATAAATTAAAATCAGCTAGTCACGTGATAATCCTCGTGAGGTCACACGAGAGTTAATAACTGTTTTATGACTCTATTTTATTTTGTTTTTTATATGGAAACAGTCGTCGTAATTTGATACCGAGGCGATTCCCGGGAAATAATAGCGCGCGCTCTTCTCCCTTATCGTATACGCTGGAACACAGTACATGTACACAATCTACTGTACAATGTATGAGTACAGTACATGCACGTACGTACGTGTGCAACGATACACTACTGGAGTTCATCACTGTATGAGGAGGTTTGGGATGCGATGGAGGCCGAGGTTGGTGAAATGTCAACAAAAATCTGCCCGTTGTCTCTCTGAGATGGCCGTGTTCTACACGAATACCTGCAAGTTCAGCGGATGTAGTTTAACATTTTCATCGCTTGGTCAGCTGATTGAGCACATCGAAGAAACGCACATAGGTAAAAATCAGGCACAAAAAGACGTATTGAGCATGTTTAGAGGAGATGGTTCGTGTGTGCATGCGCCTTAACATCGTCAATCGGTTAACCGGCATTGTCAATTACATACATGTGTTGTGTGAAAGTCAGGTGCCTCCCCGAGCACGAACAAAAGCTTCCTCAGAAATTCGGCAGCCGTCGCTTAGTATCTCTTCGGTTGTGCATTCTTCCCTTCATGATTATTTGTAATTGTATAATAGGCCTATGCCATGATAATTTATCATGCAGTCTGACCCTCATTATAATAGTCAAACGGGTGGTAATATGTGAATGTTGCTGTGCATTCTATTGTGCCATGCGAATTGAAAAACTGTAAATTTTTTTGTTGTACAAAATGTCAGGATGTAAATGTACATACACTAAATATACAGTTTTTATTCTGTTTTGGTACGTATACATGTACAAGATTAAGAGCATGCATCTGCAGTATAAAAAGAAACAGTGCATTTATACTTTGCATTGTCTTAGGCCTACACCTGCCCGAGCTACTTGGTAGGACCATGGAGGAAATTGTGTTCTTATTCCTCCATGGTGATGGTAGGACCATGGGTTTTCCTTCCTCCATGGTATGACAAGGTCAAGGAGACTTCGTCATGTTCATCCCAACAAGTACCTAGTTTCAGTGGGGGATCTGTATTCATTAAAATACACCCTTACAAGAATACAAAGGGACACCAGGGTAATGGCCCTGGTTCTTTGTATTCCTGTGTTTTAATGAACTGAGATCAACACTGGATTTACTTTTCACACAAAGAAATTGAATTCACTGTGTCCCAAACTGACCATTGTTACAGACATTAATATTTTTGCTTTTGTACAGTCGGTTTATAGTTTATAAAACTTGGTACATACACATATCTAATATCTATCGATATGTGTGTGAAAAGTTTTCGGTAATTGATTTTGTCTCTGCCTAACATCATCAGGAATGTGCTACTGTAACTTTACTGTAAGGATTTGTTTGAAATTACTTGGGTTCCTCTTTTTGTGGGGTTGACATTGCTTATTTCAAAGTAAGAACAATGCCTTCCTAGGCTACATGTATTTGTGTAAAGTATGAAAAATTATTGTTGAATGACAACATGTCATATCATTACCATCCATTAATCGCCAGTGTTTGTTTTAGTTTTATTTTCATTTTATTTTTTATTTTATAACACTTTACACTGGCTGATATAAATAAATAAGAACATGAAATAAACAATGTCAAAAGTAGTTCTTAAAACATTTACAAATACAACCTACAAACTAAAACACTAAAAAAAGAATCCAGGTATTCAGTCACAATCACAAGTCAAACCACAAGTCATTTCATTTTGATGATAAAATGAACACCCATGTCACAATTCATTTGGCACACTTTCCGCTTGACTTGAGGTTTTATGACTTGTGACTTCATTAACTTGATGTGACCTTTGGGGACTTGATCACAAGTGCCACTGAGTCATGTTAGAATGTGTATCAGTAAGTTTGTTGATATTGCTGGTAAATACACGTTCATTTGGAGATCAGTTGCATGTACCATAATTGTAAATAGGAAGACGGTGTGTGACATTCTGTCTTCCATTTATCTCAAACACGGAGCTTCTTCACTGGTTCCAAATTTCAATTCCCCACAAATCCCCATGAACTCTTTGAGAGGTTGTTCATGTATGTTTTTTCCCAGCAGTGAGGTCCAGCTGGTCTGACAAACTACATCTGTGGTGGTGGTCACTGTGGTGGTCACTGCCACTGTGAAGCAACAGTTTTGTTTGGAAATAGGGGACCATTCTCCACAACATCTATACTTAACATGTGTGTAGTTCCACAATGCTGATTATGTATGAATGTACAGATTTGCATGTGAAAGGCACAGCACACATAACAACTTAGATTCTCTGTCCGGTATGGAATGCCCAGTTTCAATGTTTTCCCCATTCTCACTTGTCTTGACAGTTTAGAAGTAGGTGCCTACTGGTGTTCGGAAACATTGAATAATGTAGGCGTTTGGGTGTTTTGTGTTTGATTTTCAGATTCTGATCCTCAGTTTATTGAGGAGCAGGAGGGCCAACAGCCATCTGCTGTAGCTCTGAGCTATGTCATCAAGTAAGTCATCTTGGTTTGTTACACCAGAGAAGCCCCGGGTAACCAGGTCCCTCTTCAATCTTGTAGTTGAGCTGGAATGTTGGTTCACAAATGTACATGAACATGGCATACATTTAAGCAATCTTGGTGTTCATTGAACCTCACCTGTAGTCTGAGTGCAAGAGACAATAGAAATCGTGCAACTCACAGAAACAAGGATTGTTTTAGACATTGTTGAGATGATCAGAAACTTGGAAAGGATGGGATTTATTAGTCCTAATTCTTCTAGGATTCAAGAAGACAGAACCCATACTTCTACAACTTTACATGGAGATTGATGCCCCTTGATGTCCCTTGAGGAGTCTGGATTTTGTGATCTTCGCTACCCTCCTATTCTGATCTCTGTTCTCCTTCGACAGATTCAATTTAAATATGGCCTGCATATCAAAGCATCCATAACCCTAACACTCCTCAATCCTTCACCTGTTGGAGGACTGAGGAGGGTTAGGGATAATGATTACGTCTGTTCTAGTCAGTTGGACAAACAGTTAGATTGTTTATAATTTACATTATTACATCAAGACGTGCATGAGTAGATTTCATTCTGCATGACCAATGGAAGAAGTCGACATTTTCATCTGTGTGAAATGATCAAGTTGATATTTTCTTCTGTGTGAAATGATGAAGTTGATATTTTCATCTGTGTGAAATGATGAAGTTGATATTTTCATCTGTGTGAAATGATAAAGTTGATATTTTCATCTGTTTGAAATGATACCATCTGGACTTGACTTTGCAGATTTGTGACAGATGCAGCAAAGCATCATAATGAGACAACACCAACTGCCAAGAAACGTCCCAAACCGAATGCATCAAACGTAGCTTCAATCAGAAGCATAACACCTAGCACAGGTACATGTACACACGTAGATCCTATGTGTCTATTGTGTAAAAGACACTTTGGGGGGCACAGTGTGGATTTTACATGAGGGAAGGTCATATAAAGGCCTTTTAGGGACTGGTATTCAGAAATAAAGGTACATGTACATGTATTACTGATGGTGGCACCCTACACCAATGTTGTGTCTGTGCATTAAGAACTGAGAAAGTGCTGTCCTAAAGGTTGAGAGAAAGTAATTCACAAGGTCATATCATGATAAGGCCATGTGAAAAAAATAGTTGGTGATCGTCCCAGCCCGTCCCACCCGCAATTTTTGGGGGGGGTGGGGGAAACAGGAAAAAACCGGCCTTTTGGACCATCCCACATTCATATTTAGCGACCTTCTGTTACGCACTTTGGAAACAATACTTCTGGAAATCGCCGATTACTCCCGAGCATCTACATGTACGAGTGCAGATTCACCCAACCTCAACTCCATGGCATGGCATGAATGAGCCCATGAGAACGAAGTTGAGATTCACCAAACCATTAACAAGTTTTTATGAGCTGCATCCGAATTATTGGCTGCAGTTGCGGCCGCGTGCATAAACCTATGGAATGTAAAGTAGCCAGCGAGGCAGCAACCACAATAGCTTTGTACAATGTGGTCATAGCCACAGTATATAATTCGAATGTGGCCTCAACTTCTGCTGTATGCTGGGTCAACATTCAATAGCGGCAGCCATTCCCCGATACTGATTCCACTTCACAGAGCTACAGTACCTTGACCCTCTCTGAGAAAACCTTCCTATTTTTGCCTGGCTGTACAACCCCAATCTCCTTTTGTATGAATGACTTGCCTGTGTAAAACCCTTTCGTAGAGAAGATCAATCAAAATCATTTCATTGAGGAAAGTGCTCTTTGTGTAATATTTTTTAATCCAGCAAAGATGTTTGTTGAAATGAACAAACAAAAAAAGCCCTCCCATCCCAAGATTTGTATTAAAAAGGATCCTCACCAATTATTTGTTTTCATGTGGCCTAATGTTAAGGTTTATGAAGGATGAAATATGGGAGTAGAAATCACTGAAATTATGAAACAATAAAGGAATTCACATTCTCATCCAATAAAGTTTCAACTTTTTTTCTTTAATCCTCAGGGAGTGAGTATGATGAGTATGACGAGTTTGGCTCAGAATCAGACAGTGACAACTCTGTGACAACTCAAGAAGAGTACACCTCTGAAGTTATCTTGCGTACCATGAACCCCCAGATTGGGGACGACAAACCCTACCAGTGCCCTGTCCCCGGTTGTAAGAAACGCTACAAGAATGTGAATGGGATCAAATACCATGCTAAGAATGGCCACCGTAAGGAGAATAAGGTCAGTGTTTCGGAAGCAAACTAACATGAAGTTGGGACTATCTGTCATGTTAACCCTAACAGTCCCAAATCCTCAAATTTCTGTATGATTTTACATACACCCTGGGGGTTAGGGTTAATGGGCCAAACTTGTATCTGCAAATGGTACTTTACAATCTTGCAATTGTTAGTAGGCACTTGGGATTTGTTAATTTAAAGGCACTTTTCAACTGTCAACATTTTTAGAATCTATACAGTTGGAAAAGTAGATTTTTGCGACTGGTTTTAAAAGGTTGGTTTCTAGTGTTTCCATTGTACGGTGGACTGTGGATGGAAGCGTTGGGAAGCAAACCAGAAAAAGAGTTGCTATCCCTGTGGATCATGAGGGCAGTGTACACTCAAGGCTGTATCTTTTTATCAACTAGAAACACGAAAATTTTATAAGAGCGAAATTGTGGTACAAAAGATATGACATAGCTGCTTAAAGTTGAATGTGACCATGGCTATTGTGATGAATGCAGCAGCGTCAAAGATTTTTTATTTTCTGTTTGGATGCAGTCCAACTTTAAAGTGTCATTTCAATATGTTTATTGCCCACTTCGCATTCAGTTTTTGGGAATAAAAACACATGTTGAACAAATGAACTTATTTCTTTGTAGGTGAAGAAGAGCTACAAATGTCGTTGCGGTAAGAGCTACAAGTCCCAACAAGGACTTCGTCAGCATGTCAACATTCAGCATCCTCCAGCAACCCTCACCCCGAGTGCATCACCAAAATCTCAGTCCCAGACAACAACCACTTCAACAGTACAAACGGTACTCACAGCCAAGCAGCTGGGCTTAACGTTGCAGAGTACCGGTCTACTCATGGAACCCACCAAATGTACCAACAGCGGGACACTAACCACCGTGGGCAGCACTGCTGTGGAACCCAGCACCCCTCTTACCCCTCTGACTCCAACCACGCCCTCCACAGGCTTCACGCTGGTTACTCTACCATCGCATCTGGATGCCACAGTTCTGGCTACACATAAGCTAGAAGGGACCGTGGTATCAGTGCAACAGATTCAACCAGATGGCAGTGCAGTGTCCATTATGAATTAAGGTTATAGTAAGATGCAGAACTTGGTCCTTACTGGCCGTCCGTATTAAAAACTTTGGGACCAGGGGTTTAAGGGGCACGGATACTTATGGTATGAAAGAAAGAACAGGGAAACTATGAGCTTCAGTTTCAGTCCATTTCTGGGTAGGGCAATGAGTTTTGATCTGTCAGACTAGGTTCGGCAGGGCTTTGGTTTAGCTAAGCTAAATGCCGACATTAAATTCACTGTTCCTTGGTTGAGGTCCCATTTGGCTGTCATCAGGAGTGTGTCATATAGACAAAGTATATCTCAATGCCAAGATTCAAAACAATTTTGGCAATTACGAGTGACCATGTTGATACATGTAATGTTTCATGTTTACTTGGAAGCATTGATAAGCAGCACTCCTTAGCGGTTCCACATTTACATTGAGTATGGTTTAGGTTTGGTTAGTCGATAAGTATTGCCAAGAATGTATGTTTAGTGTCATTTGAAAGGCTAGTGGGTCTTGTGCATTAATATAATATGATATATTTATTAAATTGAGTAACTATTCTTTTGTAGTATAACTCTGATAAATGACGTGTATATTTGCCAGACTTTGCCGGTTGGGTGACTATGAAAAAACAAAGAATAAACTTGGTCGTATTGAGATAAATTGACAGAAAGGTATTGGTTGGCAGCTGTTTGATGAAAGGATTAACTAAGCGGGCAACTCTCAAGTAACCATTTTAGGCACTTTCGTAACTGTAAACTTATGGAAGAAAATAATTAAAAAATTATCTCGTAATGGAGCTATTTAAGTAGCATTTTTGATGAATCAAGGTGCAAAAAACTTTATCCCCCAAAAAGTGTTAGCAAGAGAAAATGCATTAAAGTCGAACAGCTGATAAGGTGTAAATTTTATGATTCTGTTCTGGTTGCATTCTGCAGTTTCTTGATAGAAAACAGAAGGTAAAACTGGTGTCTGGTAGTTTTTCAAATGAAAAAGTATTACACATGACATCACTACCAGTTACTACCAAACTTGCTTCACATATAAATAATAAGATCAGCATTTGTTGCCATAGTTACTGTTAGCCATATCAGATGTTGAGATTAGTTTTGTGTGTTAAAAGATATGGCAGGGAAATATGTGATTGAAATGGCCTCAAATGTTGATAACTTTCTCAGGAATCAAAATTAGATCTATCAGAAGCCTTTTATTGTTGGAAGTAGAAGTGATCATGCATCGGTGTGATTTATTTGACAGTTGTTAGATTTAGAATTTACAATGCTATATAATGTTATATTCTGACAATTAGAGGACCAAAAGGAGGTAAAATAGTTACCATATTCAGTAAGAAAGTGATTTGTTTATTCTGAGTAGCCTTTAAACATCTTAAATTACTATATATACATGTATGTAAGAGATCATGGTTAATTCATATTTAATAAAGGAATAATATGGCACACATAGGGCCCCCCAAGTCCCTGTGCCACTGTAGTCCTGTATTTTATTGAATCTAAATCCACCACTCTAAACCATTTAGCTGTTTGCCTTCTCACAGGGCACTCATTGTATATTGTGACACTCTCTGCTGTAGTGGTACATGTATCGATTGCAAATCATAACCATCCTGTCAAATTAAAGGTACCTGTGCAATGGACTTTTTTCACACTTCCGGAAGCAATATAAGGTGCAACTTTCAGAATCCTGACGTGGTAAGGCTTGTCCAAAATAAAAGTTTGTATGTTTTGCCTTTTGGGGAAAACTAAACATAGTATTGCAAGTCAAGTCTTATTCTTAACTCATGTTATTAATTTGTGGATGGAATCCATTTGCATTCTGATTTGTGCCTTGATCAGATCGAGATACATTTATATCGGGTGTTAAATTTTCTCTGAACTGTGCTTCAACAAGACTCCGAGGAAATGTTTCCACTACCCAGTTTGACATGCTGACATGCATATATGTCTAACTACATGCGCTTTAGAAGTCTTTTTGAACCATAAAATGTGGAATAGAAAACTTTCAAGGGATGGCAAGTGTTGAGAAGCAGCATACAAAATATCCAAAATGCTTCAGATGACAACTCCAGTTAGTATGATGAATGTGGATACGTATTTGAATTGGCACCATGCAGTGTTAGACAACTTTTTCTTTTATACATTGATGAACATCTGTAGTACTTGATATCTCATAACTGATCATTGATTGGTACAGGTCTTGTCAATGCTCAATCATACCTTTCATGGGTTCCATATTGACGGATCTTTTTGCAATGTGACGATTATTGTAGGTTCTAGTACACATTCATTTGTACTCCTTATTGTTGTGAAGTAGAATAGTTTCGTCTTTCCATTTTGTATGCGTGTTTCTTGCCCATTTAGAGTGGTCAAAGCTAAATATGTAAGATATTACGAAAGTCTTGTATCGTGTATTATGTAAATAGAAACTTTCATCAGATGTGAAAAATAAATCTAAATTGAAAACAAGACCGATATCTGTGCAACATTGTTTCAAATAATCAGGAGAGAAAAAGTGTGAAATCATTTAATGAACTTTGTGAGAAAAAACACTGAGATGATTCTTATCAAAATAGCTAGATTTATTTTCCAACAGGAGTTGAAATGGTACTAAGGCTCGCTTATTTGTCATTTGATAGACGTGCAGAAAACCAATATGGAATTTGAGCACAACATAAAACCAAACAAATAATACAAGCTTCCAAGGAGTGTGACCCAATTTTATGTTTTCAGGATGCAAGTTGCTTTAGGCCAAGAAAAGTCTCCAGTTTCTGGTCGGGAACTGACTCCAAAAGTGGTTTGGCGACACAGCTTTTTTTTTTACCCTCACTTTTTTTTCTAGAAATAATGTACATATAATCTGCAATGTCCATCGCAGCTGCACGCGCATGTAATGCTGGCCACTACCTACACTGAAATAAAACAGCCCCAGCACTTTTTACTGTTTAAAAGTATTTTCAGCTTGTACATGTACAAGAGATAAAGACCACCTCATTCGTCTGGCTCCCAGATGTACATGTAAATGTATAATACAGAAATGACGTCTGAAAATGAGCGCCCATTTAAATGTTTGGGTAACTAGAAGGACTCCTTTACTGTTACTCAACCGTACCACATCAAAATCATGTTAAATTGCACAGTAGCGGGAGTCCTGTTGATTAAAGCAAGTTTGGCAACTTTTGGACATCGTTTTAAACCAAATAAAAAACTTTTTTATGTAGCCAACACGCATGTCTACATTGACGCACATGCTGACCAGAAACTGGAGAATTTTTTGGGGGGGGGCCTTAGTTGACTTAAATAAAATTTACAAAACACCAAGTTCACATACATATTCAAATATTTGCTTTAAATACTCTACATAAGTTGGAAGAACACCCCAAAATCTGTTATCCACAACAATCTGACTTGGTTTGTTTTCATAGAAAAATTGACAGAAATGGGGTTTGAACCTCCAATATCTTTGTCGTGGTGATAAACCCATTCATACTGTGTGGCTTCAGATCATGCAAAAAGGCCTGATATTCAGAGAAAATAAAGTTGGACCTTGTACAAATTAATTGTTCCTATTCAAAAAGCATGATACACGGTTTTAGTAGCATGGTCCAAATGACATTCATGTAATAACTTCCTCAAGAATAATGACAACTGCAAAGTATTAAATTTGCGCTGAGTAGTAACTTGATACCAAGAATGCTTAATGGAACCTGAGCTCCCAGATCTCTTAGGACTTCACTTGGTGGAATGTTCATTTAACATAAACTCATGTGCATTCTAAAACACATCCAATAAGAAATCACAGGCTCACAATGACCGAAGGAACAAAATGAAAAACAAAAATGCGAAAGAGTATCTCATATGCTGTTGATGGAGCCCATTAAGTTCACAGGTCGATTCTTGTACCGAGAGGAAATATCTTGCTCAATCTACAAAGACAAAAGGCACAAACCAATCAGTGAACAACAGGTTCACTCACTTTGTGAAAACCACTGGACGTGAAATTTGCCTTAACAGATGTCTAAACTTCCATCCCTTCCCAACAATCCAGTTTATTCAGTCAATGTAACCATTTCATATCACTCTGGCAGAAAATGCGACAAGAGGTTTTGCAAGTACTGTTTACGAAGACAGGAGACCAGATTTCACCCTTGTCTACACGTGTATACCCTAGCTAATTAGTCAGTTTTTTAATACACAATACAGGCAGTATGCAATACCTATTCGCAAATTATTTAAATTAAGACGGCCTCGGGATTAGAGTTCATGAGTGCAAAGGCTTTGTATGACCATATATCCGAGTGTAATATACACGTATCTGTCTTTGAGACACAGTTAGAGAGCTTTAATGTAAACTTATAAAGTCCTTTGTATCATGTTTGAACAAGAAATAATTAAATCAGTTGATGGTGTCATCTGCCAAGAAACACAAACTGGTTCCTTGATAAGTGAAATCAACCAACTTACCTGTCTTTGAAGAGCCCTTGTATTAGCTACCAGCTTATCAATCTTGGGCATGAGTTGTCTCTCTTCATCAATTGCTTCCAGACACTTCACATGAACTGCTTCCTTCGATGCCAACATCTTCTCTTCCTGTCCACATTTCTGTTTCAGAGATTCTGTCAGTCTATCCACATACCTGAGGTAGAGAAAATCCCAATATTTCCTCAAAAGAGTGCTGAACAAGTTGGACTGTATTTGTTGACACTCCTTAATCCTCAGCACAACAGAAATGTTCTACAATGCCACCTGTTGTAAGGTAAATGTTCTGGAAGCTTGGGGAATACTGAGGTGATTCGAGATGAAAAATGCGGTTTCTATGATCCCTACTCATGCCAGAATGGTCTGTTAAAACATGACAGAAACTTAGTTCTTATCAGGAGCAGCATTCTCAGCATAAAATGTCTCCACATTAGGTGGAGGGGCAAACAATGGCTACTCCTGTTACTGATAACAGTAACGAGCAGTTTGGAACTGGTAACATAACTGTATGCATTACTTCTTGCATACACCAATTAACAATGCGTCACAAGCAAAACACAGTGAATGTTAAAAAACATATCAATGGAAGAGTACACAAAAGGTCATCAACACAAGAAATCTTTACAACAACCACACATATACTTCAATAATTATGAATATAGACATCCAGCATATCTCAAAGAAAAAAATGACATACTTTGGCGAGCTCTTAATAAGCATCAAATGCTGCGTGGTTGAGTCCATCAAGAGATTCAAGATTTCTCGGACCTTGTCCAACATGGCCGACACATCGTCACATGTCTTCATCTGGAGGATTGAGGGCGCACTTTGAAACTGGTTAGCCGAGAGGATGTCAATTTCACCTTTCATTTCATTGAGCCTCTGAATTAAGAATGCTTCAAGCTGAACATTGAGAAGAAGAATAATGACTTTAAGGAAGGTGAAGATTGAAACAGAAAGTCGGTACATAGAAGAAAAACAAGCAAGGAGATCTGTAGAATGATCCCACCAAATAATACCGGACAATGTCAACAATTCTCACAATAAAATGGGTCTACAATTGATAACGAGTATCTATTTAGCCAACATCAAACACTGGAAAGAAGTCAAATGGCCAACATGGACAAGCCCCTTGAAACATTGTGTACTAGACATTGTATTTTCAAGCTCTTTCATGAAGACTGTGAGAAAAGATTGGGAAACCTGAGAACTTTTCTCCAAAGTGACAAAAATGGATTTACAAAATTTGCTTGCCTCTAGTAGTTCATTTGTGATGTTATTTCTTGTTGGTGGGTGGTCCAATATGGTGAAGGAATCAGGCCCTCTAGCAATCCCATCATCCTTTGCTGTACTCCCTTTTTCAGCATCACTCACATCTCCACCAGAAGTGCTATCTGTTACCTACAAGTTGGTTCAGAAATTCACCTCAGGGCTTTTAAGGAGGAAACTGTTCATCAGTGAAAAGAAATTGTAGGTTTGTGTATAACCATTTATGTTTCTGGTTCCTTCAGGAACAATTTTCATGTGATGTTGGTTGTGAATCGTTTCTCAAAAGAGTGAAAACTCCATCTACAGCAGACAAAATCACAAAAATGTTAAGGAGTTTAAGTGAGCACATCTAATTGGACTACCAACATGCACAATGACTGTTATATTTGGCATTTTACTAAAGTCTGCACTCCATCTGTGACTTCCATCCGTAAGGCTTACTTTTATCAAGTTACATAAGGATGGCATATTCCTACATTCAATTTTATATCTATCACTCAAATAATAGCATTTGCAAGCAACACTTACCTAGTGACTGATGACCAAAGTGCAACATTTACCTAGTGACTGATGACCAAAGTGCAACATTTACCTAGTGACTGATGACCAAAGTGCAACATTTACCTAGTGACTGATGACCAAAGTGCAACATTTACCTGGTGACTGATGACCAAAGTGCAACATTTACCTAGTGACTGATGACCAAAGTGCAACATTTACCTAGTGACTGATGACCAAAGTGCAACATTTGCCCAGTGACTGATGACCAAAGTGCAACATTTACCTAGTGACTGATGACCAAAGTGCAACATTTGCCTAGTGACTGATGACCAAAGTGCAACATTTACCTAGTGACTGATTACCAAAGTGCAACATTTACCTAGTGACTGATGATCAAAGTCATCAAAGTATCTGAGGGAAAGTGAAATTAAAAAATCAAATGTAAAGTTTTATAAATTCTGACCTGGATGTCGAAGTCAATGGTTTCTGCTCCTCCATCTTCTAGCGTGATACCAAAGTCTATACCCTCAGCTTCTGCATCAATATCACCCCAATCAATCTGACACACAGACACAGGACAAACCAAACTCTGATTCATTAAATACTGTCCTTTAAACAATGTCCCCATCCGAAACCCCTCTCTTCAAAATTTGTAAGAAAATTTGAAACTTACCAGATATTAACTTTTACATGACCCATAGGTATTAAAGTTTCAGACCCAGAACTCAGCATTCAGACCCCAAAATTTGACTCAATTTCATACTCTGCATGATGGCACCAAATCTCATCTAGGGGTACACATTAATAATCTCATCTCCAAGTAAATATCCTCAACAGCAATGGTTGCCATGACAAACCTCATCTTCCTTTTGCTCCTCCTCATCCTCGAGGAACGATAATGTTACCGTCTCAACAGATACAGGCACCTTCCCTGTCCTCCACTGATAAACTGTGGCATTGCCATGCTGAAGGAAGAACCGTAGTATGGGAACCACCTCAATCTCTGATTGTCTGGTGTTATCACTACACCTAAACAAAAATCAATAAACATGTGCTCTTTGAGAGGCAAAGTAAATTAATAATTGCAGATCTTGTGAGTTGCTGAAGCTGTTGTAAAAGAACTTCAAATAAACTCCAGCTCAGTGTCAGTGTGAGGAAACTAGTATAAACTCTGCACTGAAATGGAAGCTTTTCTAAGGAGTCTGTCAGTGGCTTAGTAGAACTAAAAGACATGACTCCCACAGGTATTATTTGAAACAGTGCACAGAGCTCCTGCATGATCCAGAGTCATCAAATTGATAACACTTTTCCAATAGTTTTTGATTGCATCATCAGAATATAATCCACGCGGAAAGTCTAACAATTACTACTGACATGACAACTGGGTCCAAACTTATTCATTGTTTGGTTCTTTGTGGAGATTTTGGTAAAGTACGTTGCTTATGGACATAATGCATCATGTCATAACTGATTCAAAAGTCTACTAGTGGTGAAGTGGTCTTACCCTCCGATGGTAAACTGCACAAATGCATGGTAGAACTCAACGACAGCAGACAAGCCTTGGCTCTTCTCTGTGATAACAGCAAGCATCTCTGGCAAGGACTTGACCTTCGCAAGAAGTTCACTCTTGATTTTCTCACCCTACAAAGTACAAGAAGTTGCAAACATCAGTTTAACTGTAATTTCTATGAACATAATAGTCTCTACTCAACTAAAAATAAACTTTCTTGATAGTTTTTAAAAGGGACTCAGAGAATACAATACATGAGTTGAAATTCTTAACAGAACTGTTAAATCACTGGATTTCGCAGCAATATCACTTATAGCACCCACAGCAAATTCTTGACCAAGTAATAGCCAAAAATCTAGATGTACGTAGAGGCTTACTGTTTGGAGTCAAATGCAGCCTGAACATTGTGCTAAACCTTTTAGTACAGTGTACTACTCATGACTGTTCCAAATGAAAGGATACCCAAACACAACACAGAAAGACATCCACTCTACCCCTACAAAGCGTTACCCTTTACACTACCACCAAATCCAAGGCAACTTGCTACCTTTTCAAATTTGATACTTCTTACCTTAATTCCTAGTTTCCTACATTCTGCATTGTACTCTGATTTTGCTGCAGTTGCATTGTCCTGGTAATCCTTCTCTTTTCTCTGACATTCCTGATAAAACAATTCAATTTCTGAGTGAACCCATACAAGTTAGCTGCAGAATTTCAGCTTGTAACTTGTAGAACACCATAGCAGTGCTTGAATAACTGATCTGAGAGGGTAGCATGCAAATTTTAAATAAGCAGCCATTGGCTACGTCTGTACTGATCCAACTGCCTGACCATGTAACCACAAAAAACGTTTTCTAAAAATGTAATTTCTCAACATATGATTTATAAAGGACCTCTAAAAAGAATCTAACTTGACATGTCAGTAATTCTTCAAAACCTCTTGGGACTCACAACTGACTTTTGGTTTACATTTGTGGAAACTATGAGTATAGAATTCCTACAAGAGTTTCTTTGAAATTTTACATTTCTGCATTCAACTGCTGCAGTTCAACACAACGACTCCGTCTCAGTTTCCATTTGGAACCTGGATTTATGTATGTAGACTTACTGCTTGAATCTGCTTCAACTTGGCCACTTGTTTCTTCAGAGATGGGATCTCATAGTTAACATTGCGTATCAACATCTGAGCAACCTCTGCTAGGTACACATTTTCCTTCTCATAAAGCCGTACCACTTCTTGCCAGTCCTAGAGTAACAACCAAGCAAGCACTTTAAATTTTTATATCCAATTTTGATTTAGTTTTGGAAAGATTTCCTGTTCTTTAACTTTGATGTTTGAAAATGTTGTATTGAGGTACATTCAATATTGAACTGATTCAAAGATTTTCTGAGACAAAACGAGGGAAACTTTAAATAAACTACAGAAAGTTATAACTTGAAGAACTGGTTGCAGTAAAGGTGTGCAGAGGTGAAGCCTAACATAAAAAGAGTTGAGATATCATCAGCACAGCGTCATCCACTTTTGCAAAGACATGTGAGGAAAGGATTGGTAAAGTCTGATGTACAACCATCATTTCACCTAAAAGTACAAATAGTACATGGTATGGTACCTTCATTCTCTGTGATGAATAATAACCAAAGATGTTCTTGGAACCAGATTCAGACACCTTGAGAAGTTCAACAATCCTTAGGCAGTGGAAATAGTTGATATCTAAAAAAAAAAAACATTGGAAAAAGAATAGAAGGCCAAGTCACCAATAATTAAACTCTGACCCTGAAAGAATTCCTTCAAAGATTTAACCAGTAAGTAAATCCAACAACGTCCAGCACTATGCCTGACCATTTCACATTCTTTGAAATTAAATTTAAAACTGTCCAAGTTCCACTTAAAGCGGAACAGAATAAGAACTTTCTTCTTACATGTTCCAGCTAAAAGCTGTTTGATTTCATCCACTTCAGGCATATCTTGAATTGCTAGGTTGATCTTCTCTCTGATCGTTAGCGCTGCGGTTTGCCATTTCAAGTTGACATGTCGTCGATCAATCAGCCAATCTGCAAGGAAAAAAGACACATTTAATGATAAAACTTCAGATAACAAAGCTATTCCAAAAAGCTGACAGCTTGATTGGGTGAACAATAGAGGTTATTTGTTCTATCTCAGACACACTGTTTTCAAACTGAAAATATCTATGACTTTGGTTAGAATCCATAGCATTTCAAGAAAAACAGTAATTTTATATTTAGCACCAAATAGGAATTGGGCTGTCAAAATGTGTATTTAGATGCAACTTTTGCTTCACTTTCAAAGTTTTCAGCTGAAAGGGGTACAACAGAACAAATGTTGCTGAGCACATTCAAGCCTGTTTTTTACCTAGGAGTTTGTTGGAGCTGATGTCAATGGGCAGGTTCTCAATCTGTTGAGCTGTCAATTCTTCAGTTTTCTAAAAGAAAGAGTACCGTCAGTTTATAAATACAATGTTCCATGGTTTGGCCCATTGTCTTGTCTATACCATAAGATCACAGAAATCAAGATTTACTTCTCAACAAACGTCAGGAAACTTCTGACTGAAACATTGCTTTACACAAGGTTACATATATGTACATTTAAACAAATGAAAGGTTACACTATGGGGCTGAAAGTTAATGTACTACACCTACGTCGGCCTCCAACACAAATTAGAGATGACAGCCTAAAACATTAATATGCCAAATAATGAATGTCTAACCCACTTCATCAGCAACCCCCATCTGAAAAGTATGGCAGGGTAGACTAAGACCATGTTGCTGAAAACAACAGCCAGCATGAAAGCAACGAATCGAAGCAAGCCAAAAAAGCTAACTTTAATAGGTGGCAATATTGCATATCAGACAGTTTCATTTTCTATTGCTACGGTGACTAGCAGTTGGCCTATATAAGGTGTCTTTGTTGTTTCATAAATGATAGGAAGGAATATTATCTAGTTTGTTTGAGTTTCTGTCTCAGCTTTGTGTCTGAATGAGGCTTAGGACCAAGAGAAAGAACATCCTGGATTTCTGTTTTGAAATGAGGCTTTTTTCTTTATTCATTAATTGGTGTACATACCACACATTGATAGCGAGTACGCACTCATGCAAAGGAAACCAACCTTGAAAGTACACTAGCTCTCAGTCTGTCTTACATTACGCCATTTGTAAGCGGGCACGCTACAAACTCCCGATTTACTTTGCAGCCATTTTTTAACCATTCCCGATGGGAAAAACCCTTTTTCTGAAATGATAGCTTTTTGGAAAAAATTGAAATTGTTTGGCAGCTGTTTCAGCGGTACGCAGGCATTGGACGGAAATCCAGGATATTCATTCTCATGGACTCATAACCTCCATGGTTTAAATGCTAAATATTGAATAATGAAAAAGTCTCATGACTCATGTCTTTAAAAAACCTTTCATTTCCATGGCATAGTAATTGAGGTTATACATATATTGCTGGTACCTGGAGGCTGTTGTTTTTCCTTCTTCTAATTTAGTTAAAATGGATGCACAAAAGGTTTCCTTGAGCCTATCTAGCGATACAAAGCCCTTGCCCTCCAACTCCACCTAAACCATGTACATGTATGTAAGCTGTACACTACATGATGTCCACTCCATATTGAGATTGACATTGTCATCTCGTGAACCTCTAAGCACTCATAGCAAACACTCACATTCTGCATTATCAACTAGCGTTTTCAGAAAGTAAACTATACATTTGCAACCCTAATAAAAAAAAAACATTTTTACATTCTTGGGAAAAGGTTCTCACCTGCATGTTGTTGATCGTGCTCAAAATCTCTCATCATCCATATGGTAAATATAGATTGGCACCAGGCTAACCGGCTAAGCTATAGCCACGGTACTAGCTTCAAGAGTGGTATTACACCTAGACGTAAAAGGCGCGTATTAGTAGTACACGTGTAAACAACCTAATCCACACGCCCTCTGCTGATTGCAAGGAGTTTTGTAATGTAGCCTATTGTAGGTGATCAGGATCATCGATGTTAAACTGAACTTGAATCCCCAGTGCGCCTCAATTTTGCTTGGGAGAAAGAGAATCGAAAGACACCGAACACTGGAACGAACAGTCTGTCTAAAATTTTGTTTTATTTTTTCTTAACCGTTTCATGTAAAGCGAACAGATGACCTGAGCAGCCTCAACTCGCGTACATGTACATGTTCAAAGAGCCTGGCTCGTCACCAGCGTGGGCCTATTCTATTCATTTCTGTTAAATTGAGTTTGATTTCCCATTAAGCTATATTTTGTAAAAGTAAAATCTTGCAATATTACTCTGCTTTATTTGTTTTTCCACATGATTTGGAAACGCTCACTTGCTAGGTTGCTGTAAAAGTCCCAGATAACATCGGTAAATACGCATATATTAATAACATTCGGGGAACTTCCATTAAGTTATGATCCTACAGTTCAAGGGCCGGGCGGATCCAAACCCAGTTTTTCCAGGATACTTATCTCTGATGGGGACCGACAAATTGGGACCTTCTTTAATGGCTACTCGATATGGGCTGAGCTTGTTGCTTCAGTTGTAGCATTGGCGGATCCAAGGCCGTAGGGCTGTAAGAGGGCCATTGTTAGCCACCCAAAAAGGGAAAACGATTATCTATAAATGAGAGGAAGCTTTTATTACCTTTTCTTCCAAAACCTCATTCAGAAAGACCATAAAAAATTGTTTAAGCAAGGGAAAACAGAAATTGTCTTTATATTTTCAGGTATAGGTTAGGCGATTCTGGACCCGGATTGGCAACTCTGTCCCTCAAAGCCTTCTTGACGAGGATATCTTTGACCCCACCTGGGGTTAGAGAAGGATTCCTACCCAGCTCCAAGGCGGCAGCACCTAGTGATAAAGAGAAAAAAACATAGCTACATTTTGAGAAATAACACATTTTCACCGCAATGGAAGAACAAAACAACAAACTACGGAGGTGATCTTCCACTGAACTTGGGGAAGCAGTTATATGGTTTGAAGTAATATTTCAAGACATGTTGCAACATGACGTGATGGCGATGATGTGACAATGACCAAGACGTTAACAACAACGGTCATAAACGGAAGCTTGTCAATATTATTATGTCAGGTAAGCGACGACACATGGGAAAGATTCTCTGGAAGATGTATGGGCAGTGGTGTAAGTGTAGGAAGTAGTTTCGTAGGGAACAAACAGAGTGCAAACTTTCCAAGGGAACACTGTAACTTGGGCTTGACCATAATGCTGTGCGAATATAGGGGGCACAAACTTCTATTGCCTAACACGTGCCCACTATGCACCCCCTTACCCAAAAAGAGAACGAACATTCGAATAACTAAATTGATATTAATTTCGTCTGAGTTTGTTTGTTGAGATACGTTCCACGCGCATGGTGGCTTATCTTCGAGTCAGTTATACTGTCCGAGATCTCACTCTTCACAGTATAGGCACCTTTCCATATTCAAGTCAACGCGCGCGTCAAGCGTTGCGGAGTATCCGTCTTGGGGCGATTTTGACGGCCAACCGAAACGCACAAGCGTGTTATGTTAATTAATGGAGTCGATTTTTGTGTCCGTGGGAGTGAAACGCATGAACGCATCGTGTACGCAACGCAACTCAAAACGTGCACAACGGAAAGCAAATAAATGACGGACACATAAAAAATGCGCCCTTCTTGAAAGGGAAATGCGAATTACCCGCGACATGAGGGGTGGCCATTGACGTGCCACTCTTGTAGGTAGTATCTCTGTCTGTCCTAATACCAGCACTGAGGATCGAACTGCCCGGAGCGAAAATGTCTACACAAGTACCGTAGTTGGAGAAGTACGATCGTGCATCTGTCTTCGTTACGGAGCCGACAGTTATAGCCTGCAAAAAAAGGATTTTAAAAAGTTTGGCATTTGTAGTTTGTTGGGGTGAAAGGTACGGCGAAAGAATCTTAGGAAGAGGCAGCAGTAGCCCGGTTTTGAAGTGAAAACTGTGCTAGGAGTTATTTACAGCTCCATAGCATATAGGCTATGCATCTCTTTGACATTGCCTGAAGAAGATAAACTAAAAAGGAATTTTGACAATAACTCTTGAAAAGCCATATAATGTCTGTAATACTTTGTCACAAGTTAAAGCAGACACATCTTCGAGTTAAACTTCTGCAAGTTTGACACATCTGAGGAAATAAATGCAGAGTTCTTGACTTACCTTTTTGGCACTTGCTGGTGATTTCCGGCAGGCTGAATAATCATTATTGCCCGCCGACACAACGACAGTTACCCCAGCATTGTGCATCTTAGAGACCACGTTATTTTGAGCGACAGACGCAGAACCACCGACTGACATGGAGACTACTGCTGGAGCCTTTGCATTCTCTGCCACCCAGTCCATCCCTATGGAGACAGAATCATTCAGACACCGTTTCATATAAAACCGCTCATAGCCACAGGTATCATTGAAGTATAAGACATATAAAAGCCACATTAAAACGGCCTCACACCCTGAACTTTTATGTGTTTCATCTTTTGCAGAGCAGTATTCGTATCATCGGACTCTAATGTGATTTATGAACTTTCCAACTCAGCATCGTACAGTAAGTGCATAGTGCGAATTTTTACTCCACTCTCCAGTCTTTAACCCTGGGACGCAATCCCAATAATTATGAGTAATTATGAGCAAATTCTAAACAGTTGTGACTGTTTCTGTGTTTTCTTCTATAAAACCTTGAGATTACTGAGAAAAGGAGTAGGTAGCAATCTCTTCAATATTTGAAATGTCTTTAGTACTATGTATTAAATACATTGCGACATTTTTGTGAAAAATTGTACGTTCATTTAAAATTTACATCGGCCTTAACACGAAACAGATTCATAACGAAATGAAATAAATGTGTAAAAGAGCAAATTGGCTACAGTAATTTCCCCAATTTGAAAATGTACTAAAAGAAAGCCTTAATGTACGCTGTTTATCTTGGTACCTTCCATAACGCCAGACTTGGACCCTGATCCACTGCATCCGAGGACTCGTACGGACCACAGTGTGACGTTCCTTGCTACTCCGTATGTCTTCCCGCCCACTGTCCCTGCACAATGCGTACCGTGTCCCGTGCAATCCAACCCTGCTCTGCCATCGTCGTAGATGTCGTAAGCGAAGTGGGCGCGGCCTTCAAATTCGTCGTGGGTGTAGTGGATTCCCCCGTCAATGACGTACACGTGAACCCCAGTACCATCACCTGTCGAGAGAACATTCATGATGTTTAATTTAATTCCATTCATAAAATGTGTGTCACTCTATCACAAATAAATAATTTAGGCGGTCATGTTAGTTTACTACTTCCACACTTAGTTGTTTCTATTGCATTTGCATCATCACGACCCACGGTTAATTTTGTTTACCTTGAGGGGCAAAGCTTCCATCAAGGGGAAGATCGTCTTGATCTATCCGATCAAGTCCCCACGATCCCACGGTATCCTCATAAACGAGTCCATCTTGTTCAATGTATTCGATGCCATCCATTGAACGAACCTGAATATGCACATCGGAAAAGCTTTCTAAATGTCAAACACAAAAATCAGATATGTCTCTTTCAAGTCGATTAATTTTTTTGTTTCTGTCCCTTTTTAAGAGATTGTAGACATTTCATGCCCGTAGCTGTAGCCACGGATATTGGTTGGCAGCATGGATATTATGGCGCCTTCCAACACGGTTTCCAGACCTAATTACATCTGTAATGATTAAACTCATTTTATTTTTTTTTATCAAACTCAGAATCTGGAAACCTACAAGCAGATAAAGTTCCAGAGTTTTCAAAACCACTTATAGCAGATCCAGCACAAAAGTTTCAGAAAAGGGCCAACTTGTATTTTGGATAGGCCAAAATTAAGGTGTGGTCCTCTTCGCCCCCTCCCCTCCAAAGGTCCGCCCTTACAAACCACCATTTCTCAACTGAAATTATACATCAACATTCTCGTTGTGGTTAAACAAGTCTAATTATTTTCTGATTGAAACTTACCAAATTTATCTGATCATCTGGAATTTCAAGCACAACCATACCAAATGTGTGGGAAGTTTTTTTGATGGCATTCGGAAATCCAGAACGCGTCAGTTGGTCTTGGAACTGGCCTTTCAGAAAGTCCCGAGCACGAATATCCTATTCCCCCAAATCAAATCAATCCAATCAAATCAATATCCGCAGGGAATATATTCGGTAAATTTCTCCAAGTTTTTACAGAAAACATGAAAAATGCAGTGTTACGACGTCGAATTATGTGAAAACATTCTTTATATCTTGGTTTGGGCAATTGCTCATTTTACATTTGCTCCTTGTTCACAAAATATCAGTGAATGAAAGATTTACATACCATAAGAAAGTGAACGAAAGATTTACATACCATAAGAAAATACATCATAACAATATTATATGGAAATAGTCATTCCAATCACACGATTTGTCGTTCGAATTGACACCTTGTGATAACAAAAGCCTGCAAAAATACAACTTTTCAAGTAAAGCGTAAGTTTGTGTCGTTATTACCTTGATCTTGACAATGTACCGGTTTGGAATAGGCTCCTCGTCATAATACAAAGGTGCTAGCGGGTCACAGTGTGTTATGACGAAAAATGCACTCAGAAGAACCAGGAATTTCATGGCTGAAAAGAGAGGAGTTGAAATACTCAGATAAGACAATTCTCATAATGACTTGGCGAATATGTTTGTGATGGTAGCTATAAAATGATAATGGTGATGACAATCGTGATGTAGTTCTTCGTAATATTTTGTTGTAAAAACGTACCGGGACATCACATGAAGTTGTAAGAGAAATGTGAGTACAAAAAGTACTGTAAAAAAGGACGGTAAATGTTTTGTAAAGTGTACAATTCCTTACCTCATCAGACTGAGGATCGATGTAACGTGACAAACAATTAACGGATGAGTCGTCCTCTATAAAACTTGTAATGTTGGAGAGTTTGGACTTCAAAATGACCTCAAAGGCGGTGGTGCATATCAACAACCTTTGGTATACAAGCATACGGTAACACGTTAATGATTAATAACAAATTAAAGAGCCATGGAGTCGGGTCCAATGTCCAAGAACTGAGTTCAGTGGAACTGTATAGCACGAAGTTACAAAACTTCTAATGAAAATATAAAGCCCGAGATCTAGACAGTATTCTGAAGCTGGAATGAAATTGAAAGGCATGATTTGTCTTGCTCTTAACTGTGATGAAGCGTGATTCGCAGTATGGCATTGGAATTATTGCTTCTTGCTTCATAATTTTGGGTTTCCTGAGAAAATCAAGAAAAAATCCTTTCATAGTTTCAACAGGGACGTTCTTGACTGGAAAATATAAAGGGGGGGAGAAAACATGAAAGCAAAGAAAGTACAGGAGGAAATGGTATGAAAATCCCGATTTTGCTGAAAAAAATACCTTGGAATATATCCCCTTATAAGGTTAACTGTGTGCTGAGGGCAATAGTCTCGCAGCCTTGATAAATCCTGGCAACGCCCTTGTCGGACACAGAGCGAAACGGACATTTCAAAAATCTTCATTAAAATAACTTCCCAATACCCCAAATTTTTACTATCCCCATTTCACCTCAACCTTTACCACGGTCCTTTATCCCATCAGTAATTTTGGACAGTTGTAAGGTAATGGTTGACATAAATTTGTAAGGGTTCCAAGACGACATGGTGGGACTGAATTGTAGCGGTCACGAGACCTACTGCGCGTGCACGCGAACTATTGCTGGCAAACTTATGCTGTAGCTAAGACAGCTAACACATGGTCCTTCCGAGTCTTTGCCAGCTCCGCTGGAATACCCAAATCCACAGTTATTACAGTTATGGGGAACCATACAAATAGAGATATAAAACCGTACTTTTCTTTAAAGAAAATTCTTGATACTGCTTATCGGTACATTTTAAGGTCTTGTAATTTAACGTTTATTAATTACTATAGTGAATTATTAATCGACCAACGCTTTGGCAAATTGTCACTACAAATCATTCAACACGCGGTTTGTTATTGAGCTTACTACTAACTTGTCACTCTTCAACCTTTCCACAACTAGGACTATATGCAGTGGGTTGGATAGAACACGGCAACAGCCCAGCCATGGTTTCCATGTCTCTAAATTAGTGGCCTTTTTATTTACAATGTGGTTATGTTCAATGATAACAGTCATCACAGCCAGGGATAACTCTGTTAATTATATCGACATGTTTACTGTCATCTGCCGTGGTTTCATGAGTAGGTAGCACATTCAGGTCCTGTGATGTGAAACATTATTTATGTCTTTAACTACCAAACTTTAGCTATCTAACTCGTGTCTGCATTTTACCCTAAGACCTTGAACATGTATCTAATCCTGTATAGCATAGGAGCGTCGAGTAGGTGTATTATTGATGACAAATTACATCGCCAATGTTTAAGATTCCCTTCTTTTGGTTTCGATGTACTATTCACCAACTCTTAATTTTCATTTTGTGCACAGCTCCAAAGGACTGAACTTCTTGTACTAACTAAATGTAGTCCTTTACCTTGATACATATCATGCTAAGTTCTACTTTCCATTTCCATTTCCATTGAAGGAGTAAATGAAACCATTGTTAATACCCATTCTTTTAATCCTCCATTTCCACACCAATTACCCATAATAGCTAGCCAGCTGCCTGACCCATGGACGATTCCACCTCTCCAACGGATGTTCGTGCGTTGACCTCTTCGCCTCAGGCAGTTTCATGCTCAGCCTTGGCATCAGATCAGAGATACCTCGGCCAAGAATAGTACATCAGTGGCATGTCCCAATGTCGCTGGTGAGAAATGTCTGGATTCCTCATTGTATCACTCTCCAGACTTCTGTTTGTGCTAAGACAGGTTTAAACTTCCTGAAATTAATTACGTGGTATCATTTGGAATGTTGGGTTTTTTACTACACTACTACAAAGAGACGCTTTGCACAGGATGTGCAAATTTTCTTGTGATGATTACGGCCTGCATGGTAGTCGAAACATTTTGATCTCCATCCAGCAGCCCTAACTTTTGACTTACAGAGTAAATAAAAATGTTCATTTCCTTTTGATGTTAACAGGACAGCAGCCATGGAGCTGGGGTATAAGGAAAAGAATGTAACCCCAGGTGGCATCACTGACTTCTTGACCATGTAAAGCCGTAAATGATTGGATATAACCATAAAGTGCGGAGCCAAAGTCACCTAACCTCCTTCTCAGGATATAAAGATAAAGATTCAAATCACGCTGTACCTCCTCGGTGGACGTCTTCGGTCTAGATTCATTCGTCTGTCAGTTGCGTTAGTTTAGTCGAATTTCTAGTGCTACTCTGCTTCCATCCAACAAATGCTTTTTGGCCACTTTATCCAGTAGTGAAGAAATACCTCGACGCCCAGTTGAAATCGGTTCACTTTATCGACTTTTGAAGGTTTCAGATAAGTTCTCTTTTTTTTACCGCTAACACCATGGAGTAATGGGCTCAATACTACTTATTTCAATTTTTCAATTTTGATTTTTAATTTCAGTTCTCAAAGTAGGGTATTCAATTTGTGTTTAGTTTTGTGACTTTTCTTGGTATGGTAGCTTCTCACTTTTGAGAAACGTCAAGATACTTTTAGATTCTGACTATCTTTGAATGTACTTTTAGTTTGTATTTTCTGAAATAATTTTCTTTGGATATGTGTGGTTAACGTATTTGTCCACTATATGAAACAGCGAGCATAGTGAAAATAATTTCGAAAAAACAAACTTTACTGTTTCATTAAGTTCATGTCATTACCTGGCTACTCACGTAATACAGCCCCCTCCTTGTTTTTCGACTTCTGCTATCGACAGATCCAATCATCTTTGGTCGCTATGGCTTACAGTGTGGCATAGATTACGAAGTGAAATGAATATAAAAAACCTTTCCTCTGTTAATTCACTGGTGCCCGGCGGGTTGGTGGTAGTTTCTTGGCACACAACAGGAGTCGAAACCTCGTGCCGTTGACGCATTCGGCGGTATGCTCCATATATGGCGGGGCAGAAATTCCTCAACAGCGAACTCCAATAGGGGAGGCGAGGTTGTCATTTGGTTAGAATTTCTGACGTGTAGTTGAACCCCAAGAATGCTGAGCTATAATTGGATGATGCGAAAAGACGACACAGAGACATGCAATAATATTTTGTATTCTGGTTGCAGTAAAATTGGGCGAAATCTAGCAATCCAGAAACTGCCCAGTGAATTCTATCATGGCGGATTTTAGACCAACAGTGAGATTAGCATGCTAGGGGAACAGCTGGAACGAAGCATTTGTAGGAGCCATAACTTCAGCTAAGACAAGAGTGGTTAGCATTTCTTCAACCACATCTGCTGCATCAATTAACCCTTGTTGATTACTTTCCAAGGTAAGATTTTAGTCTCAAACACATATATTTCCTTCTCCTACTTGAAATCAGTACGGGAAAGTTCTGAAGAAGCTGAAAGATTTTTTTAAATTCCTTTAATATGCACTGTGAAGTAATTAAGCAATAGTGGACATTAAATGTCTGATTTAACATTGAAGTTCGTTTGTATGGTTTTCAGAATTTAATCGTACTTGGGTTTGTGATACTGAAGGTGAGAATTAACGCAGTCTGTTGAGATTCTTCCCTTTAATAACTTGGAGTTATTTTATTGAAATGAAACGGAACGGGAAGTAAGGTGTTATAAACACCTTAAACAATTGCTCTCTTGCGTCATTGAAAATGTTGCCAAACGGAGTAAAATTTGTGTTGTGATTTGGGTGCTGAATGTGGTGGCGATTCACTAGATGGTGCTATAAAATGACGTTAACAATTTTGAAAATGGTGATTTTGTGATAGAGGTTGTAATGGTGATTATTGGTAGCTGTCGCGTTAATGTTGAGTGCTGGGACAGTGGGGATAGTAGTTGTGATAAGATCACAGTGGTGATTATCGTATGAATGATAGCAATAAACAACTTGTATAATACAAAGTTTGACCCAGCACTATATACTGCCGTCTTAAAAGTTACTGGAATTTGGAATCGTGACGCACGATTGAAGCATTTGTGCAATGTGCTTCGATGACATCCGGGAACATCTTTCGACCTTCCTCGAGCTGCAAGCGAAAACATATGTGCCAAAAGAAGTGACGCATATCCATTTGATAAAGCCCTCCTTGTTACAACAGTACTTCATGCTGAACTCAAGTGCAAAATAATTAAAAGAAATAATGGATGTACAGCAGCAGAATGAGCTCATTCCAGTTTAAAGAACAGAAAAGAAAATTTTTTACCAGTTTCAGTTGTCTATAGAATCAATTATCTTCACGATTAGATCTTAAACTGCGATCCAAGACATATTTTATCAGCGTATCAGCCCTAAAAGCCGTACACTGGAATTTTTGTCATGACTGACTGTACGTCACAGATGTTTCTCTGTGGTATCTACGTGTATAGACCTCAGGTATACATGTATTTTTGTCCTTCAAATCCTTTAACAATGTAAGCACAAATGATTCGGTGCCATTGCCGTTATTGGTAAGGTCTTCATGTTGTTGCATTACACTTGTATTGTTATTTTAGAGGATCTCTTTCGTTCTAGACAGATTTAATTCCATGTTTTCCAAATCAGTAAAATGTTTTTATTTTGTTAGTCATAGTAGCCTTAGTGATAAAAAATTAAATATCGATATTTTGAGGGGCCCTTGTTAAAATTAAATTAATTAGTGAATCCCGCTAAACAATATCAAGATCGCGGTAACAGATTTGTGGTGAGATTCACAAAAAAAACTTTCAATGGGAAAGGAAAATGGTTAAAATTTTAAAACATACTTAACCGAAGAGGCAAACGAATTTATGAAGCGCCATTTAATTTTTAATTTTAAATAGGAGATTGTTTTTTTTAAAAAAGTTGATTCTAGTTGCTAGAAAGCTCCTAACACACTATAATGACCCAAGCTCATGATTATGACTGAAACACCCTGTCCACAACGTCAGAAGACATTCCTGACATACCCTCACCAGGCTAGACATTGATTCATCGAGCATGCCGCCGTCAAGAATAGTCCAGTACTTGATTTTCATTTTCCTATATTTATAAGGGCCTACATTTTTTAAATGTTTGCGCGCCGTGACCTGGATCGAATTTAAATGGAGATTTTATTTTCACGGGCTTGACAGAAAGCATGGGTCATTCCTATTAAAAGGTTGTAAGATCATTATGTGTTGGCCTATAGGCCTACGGATACACGGGTTTGCGCTGTACACCTGAACATGTTTTCAGTTCTTTAATCATAAGTAAAATACCATTGGTCTCTGTCCTCTCGCCGAATCCCGCTTCGTGTGGCAAATTTTCTTTCTATATTTGACAATTTTTTAGGCTATAATTGATCGTTATGGTTATTAGGGTAATATTTGTTAATTTCTTAAGTAGGTGTTTGAGAATAACTTTTCATATATCTTGTGGATAATTGTGTACAGCTGATCAAAGATGAGTGTTGAAAGCGGCACCTAACAACTGGACTTTGTGATCTTATCCAATGCGTTTTATATGTAGTTAAAATGACTTGTATTCTTCACTTATTATGCCAATTGGTTTGAACTTGTAACACACACACACACAGAGATAATGTGTTTAAAAGCGACGACAATTCTTACTGAATTTAAATGTCTAAGATTTCACCACGAATAAACCTCTGAATCCTTGTGTCTTACGTTTTTCGTTTGTATGACCTTTTTACTCTTAGATTATTGCAAGAATTTCATATTTTTCAGCAAAATATGTAAAAAATTCACATTGATAGGTGTTATTCTTTACAATTTAATTATTATAGCGATTGTTTTTCTTCTCTTACAGGTTGTGATTCGTGAATTGCTGGGAGCCTCCCTTCTTCCCAGATTAATTTCCTTCAAAGCTGGAAATTTAATTTAAAAATTGGATGTCTATCCGCACACGTCGTTCCCCTGCCATGGACAACAACAGACCCCGCAGCATGGACCCCAGCACCCTAGAGGCACTGGCGTCCTCTCTAAGAGATCTTAACGAGGACTATACCATGTCCTCGTACCGTCCAAGGATGGAACGCCGCTCACTGGCACGTGCTGACGCAGTTACGATTAACACGTCTTCTGCGACAGGTACACCCCCTGTCTCAACCACATCAGCCGATTCATCGTCCGGCACTGCCTCTCCGCTACCTTCCCGAGCTATGGCTGGTCTTGGACCCGTTACCTACACTGGACCATCATCAAACACTGCCGCTCAGTATGTAGTCAGTGGGTCTAGCAACTACGCCAACCCGTCCAGTACGTCTGGGCAGTATGTAGGAACGTCTTCTGGTTACTCCGGGTCGAATGCACCCTACAGTGCATCTACAGGGGTAAGCGCGTATGTCAGTTCCGATTCCCGTGCACGTGCGGCTTCACCGTACACCACCAGTCCTGCCACGGTGTATACGGTCAAGCCCGTACTTGAGAAGAAATCTTCACGAGATGGCAGCAATGCAGCCAAGACCATCTCTAGACAGAGTTCCCTGGGCAGTTTCCCGGATAAATACACGTTCAATGATGAAAAACAAGCATCTACTCTCGTGTCTGGGTTGAAGGAGTTGTACAAGCAGAAACAGCTGGTCGATGTCGTTCTGTGCGTTGAAGACGAGGAGTTCCCTTGTCACCGATGTGTTCTGGCGTCCTCCAGTCCTTACTTTCATGCCATGTTCACCGCTGATTTGGTTGAGAGCAGACAGGAAAAGATCCGCATTGGTGTAGTGGATGCTATATCTATGCGACTTATCTTGGACTATGCCTACACAGCCACTCTTGAGATCACCGAAGGAAATGTGCAAGGACTCATGTTGGCGGTGAATATGTTTCAGATGCACAACTTGCGTGATGCTTGCGCACACTTCTTGGAACGACACGTGACGCTGTCCAACTGTATTGGGATCTACTTCTTTGCCGTAGCTCATGCCTGTATCAAGCTCGAAGGGCTCGCTATAGACATGATAAGCGAGAACTTCACAGAGGTCTGTAAAGAGGAAGAGTTCCTTCAGCTCAGCAAAGAGCGCTTGATCGATCTTCTGGTTCGAGATGACCTCAACGTTGACCAAGAAGAGACCGTGTATGAAGCAGCCATCGCATGGGTTAGAGATGATCTTGAAAACCGTCGAGCTGATCTGTATGATGTACTTAGCAACGTACGATTCGCTCTCATAAGTCCCTACTACATCCATGATGTTGTTGAGAGAGATCGCCTCATCGTTCATAACAAGTCGGTGCAACACCTTGTGGACGCAGCTTTGCAGTACCACGTGCTGAGGGACAGGCGTCAAGACTTGGACCTCACCAAGCTAAATATTAACCCCAGGAAAGGGATGCCAATCAAGGACATGTTTGTCTTCCTGACGCATCACACAGAAGCTATTCCTGAGACCTGGACCACAGATCTCTACCGAATCAAGCCCCTACCTGATATGATCGAGCACGCTGAGTGCGTTGTCTCTGGTGAAAACAACCTGTTTGTGGCCGGACGATCGCCGCAAGAGTTCACCGGTCGACGGTTTGCTCAGCGTCGTGGCGGGCTATTCCAATACGACCACTTTGACAAAAAGTGGTTACCGCGAGGAACCATGAACGTTCCTCGTAATTATTTCAGTATGGCTGTGTTGGATGGTATGATCTATGTCACGGGAGGTGTCAGTAACGATGTGGTACAGGAGAGCGTAGAGTGCTATAACACTAACACCAACATCTGGCGTAATGTCACACCAATGCTTCAAGCAGCCAAGAGTCATTGTTTAGCTACGGTAGGTGGTAAGCTGTACGTCATTGGAGGTGAGACCAACGAGTCAATCCTGGACACGGTCCAGTGCTACAACCCACGGTTTGATACATGGAACTATATGACCAGCATGACCCTGCCTCGTACCAGCGCTGGTGTCGCCGTCCTGAATAGAGAGATATACGTGTTGGGAGGCAGCGTGGCTCTTGGGGAGAAGCAACCAGAGAACATGCTCAAGTCGGTGGAGATCTTTCATCCTGATCGTAACGAGTGGCGATTTGGTCCAGAGCTTCCGGAGGGAAAGGTCAACTACGGGGCGGTGACACATAACGGGAAGCTGTACGTATTCGGTGGCGACACTGGGGAGGAGGCAGCGGGAGTGGTACATAGCAAGGTTTATCGCCTGGACATCGACAACTTCGTTTGGGTTGAAGACAAAAGTGGCTGGCCAAACTTACAACCGCCGTTCTATTGCGTAATGGCACGATTGAATAAAAACATGTAGGCTACTAACAGAAGTTAATTAAGCACTTCACTCATGATGTCAGTGAAGATCCTTGGGTCAATGGTTTTAGTCAATCAGCGGAATTCCACGGGGAATTAAAAGCCGAGTTGACCACGCGGTTACGAAGTAGGTAATCACGAAGTAAGCACTAATGAAAGAACGTTCGTAAGGTCACGTGCATGTTTGTAAAATTGGTCAGATGATTTGCACAGTTGCACATAGTATGACGTCATGAGTGAAGTCAGTATTTAATTCTCATTCGAAGCATGTTTTCTTCTATCACACGCTCCTCTGCATGCAGAAATTTAGTGTGAGTCTTTGAAATACCCCCAAACATCGAAAATGATAAAGTAATTCAAAAAGGTGTACAAAACGTGCAGGTGGTATCCCTCAGGCGTTGTGAGGTGCCAAGGGGATTTTTAAGTGGGGAAGATAAAAAAATCAAATCTGAAATGCCTAAACATAGACTCCATCCGCCGTTGGCTGTATGTCAGTCTGCTATCGTTGAATTCTGAGTCCCCTGAAAACAGACCCCCTCCCCTTTCTGACGACGCCCATGTCTAATATGGGTACCCCAATGTCGTTTGGACAAGTCCGTCATTGCTTTGAAGCACTCCCAATTGTTTTAAAACACTGACTTGCTGGTTATCCTTATAAACTCTTCATTGAAATGAGGTAAACGATTAGACATGTATTAGCTTGGTGGTGAGTGTCCCTATAAAGCGACATTCAATTCAGTCAAGACACGGGTTAAATTAGCTAATCTTCGTATGAAAAAGTACTGTCTCAATTCCAAAGGCCTTATGCATGTAATATCAACCGCAATGTCCGAGCTCTCTGTCACCTAAGTAGGCTATAATATAATATCTTATTAAAAATAACGCCTCAAGCAAGGTGCATAACTGCCCCGTGCATGCATCATAAATATATATATATATATATATATATATATATATATATATATATATATCTACTGTAAATCCTGGAAGTCTCTCACATTTCATTTCTACCAACCCTTCTCAAGATTTCTTAGTCATGTTGTCTTTGATCGGTCTTTACGAAGTGTCTTCCTTTTGGCATTGACGATAGGCAGAAGGATCATTTAATTTGGTACCGGTACGTAAATTTCGGCTGTTAAGATCTCGGCTGTTCCAAAATTGCGGGACGTGTCATCTCAACGTGCATACTTTGAGATGTCGACGCCCAGTATTAATGAAATGAGGCAAAGTCTTAGCGACGTAAGTGTTGTTCTGTAATGTATTGGATTTGTAATTATTTGATATTAATAAAAACTTCTTGTGACTTGGTTCTTTGCATACCAATAGAAGTTATGCACAGCAGCCATCTTCTCGGGCAGTGCTTTTGTTGGGGGGATAGGCACAAAAGGTCGACTCGTGTGTATCCCTACAGGCGCGAACCCGGGGGGGGGTAGGGGATCTAACAAAAAAAGAATTCACCAATATCAATGGAATGAATAACGTTTCATCATTACTTCTGTTCGTCCACAAAAATAAGACAATAGGTAAATCTCTGGCCTGACACCCCCTCCCCAAATTTCTGCCCTATGGAACAAAGACACTGACCAGGAAGATAGCTGCCGTGCACAGCCTCTTATCTGAGGTTCGTAATGAATTGTTAACACCTGTATAGAGTCTAGATTGAACCAATCGTCACTGTTTTTGCGTCGTCAATATTATGACATACTGCACTTCAACTCTAAGGTTGTGTTCAAAACAAAATACTCAAGACAAAAATTAACGATGCGCACAGCAACTCAACCAAATTGATGGGAAAATCTTCATAAAAAGAACAACAAAATTATTCAACAACATCATCATTTAAGAATATTGAAGACTTTCCATATCAGAACCTCAAGAGGTTGATTTACGTAAAAGGGACATTCCATGACAAATGTACAACCGGGATTGTGGAATTGAGGCCTCATGGAATAAGACCTTGAAAATCAAAAAGAAAATTTGGTTTCAGACTAAAATGAATCACAAGGAAAAGTTGATATATTAAATTCAAAGCTTTATTTAATTCAAGTATTTACATTATGAATTTTAAACATAAAGTACACCTTTGTGCATGTCTCTTTACTGAAAATTATTCTATAAATTAGTTCAGATACTATTAAACAAATGTGTAGACATTTTATTTGATAGCTTACATACATTGTTGGCTGTAATAAAGATATTGTGGCATGGAATCAGACGAATTTAATCGAAATGTTTATTTTTTCTCCTCTCACTGAAAATTACCGTATTTGGCTTCTTTTTAATAACTGCAGATTCCTGGAAATTCATCAATATTATGAGATTTTCCATCCGATTGCGTCTAATAAATTCGTAACCATATCAAATTCATGACCATGTGCAAATAAATTTGATGAAGTATTTGGTATCAGGTTCGTAAGTGTGACGTCACTTCATGCTAAACCACGCCCACTGCAGATAGAGAACTTTATACACGGAACCGTAGAACCAAGAGTTAACGCGCAACTTAAGGGTTCATCCAATGGGAGCCTGTCATCAGTGGTGTGGTGAATGCTCATGTATGACGAAGTCACTTGCGAACCGGATAGGTCACTGTACGTTGTCAAGTTCAAAGTGTATCCCACTATGATTTTCCTTTTTAAAAATAGTTTTCGTTTGTTTGTGTATTTTCAGTTTTATTTTGAGGTGTATAAACAACGGTGGATTTGATGGATAAGTTTTTCCTATTCCATGAGAGCAAAGATGTGCGCTGAAATCGTGGCACAGGGTTTCTCTTTGCTGATAGTTGTGCACATGAGTGAGGTTCTCATCTAAATCGTCCAACAAAGACAAATAGATCTGTTTTCGGAAAAGGAGGAAACAGTTGAGGTGTCAGAAAAAGCCTGAAATGCGGACCAAAACGAATTTCGAATGGCAAGAGAGTTGGAATACGACAACTCTTGATGTTGTGGAATTCGTAAGTTACCGGGAGACTGATTTTTAGATACTGCACCTTATGTGTTGTTCCTTTAATATCCTTTCATTTCTTCCTTTCATTTAGAAATATGCGTGAAATTCTCATTTTTTTGATTCCGCTTCGTGTTTATAGTGACATGCATAGTCAACTACATCCGTTATTCTGCTCGAGGGTCCAGTCCGAGAGCGTTTGATACGTCTCTAAGATAAGAGCATCTCGAATAGGATGTTTGCTTGGCATTTGATTCCTTCCTTTGAGATATGACATGCTTTTCACTGAAACTCAGGCAAAAGAATTTGAGAAAATATGTGTAAGCCTACTGCAGTTAAAAATAGAGGATTTTTCATTTTTGTGTGCAAAGTGTGTTGAAATGTCAAGCCTCGTCCATCAGAAGATTATATCTTTTTTGATAATTGATCCCAATGAAAGAACGGAACAATGCATGTTACTATATATTCAAAGCAGAAAAACCTGGCTTATACTGTACGATAATCATTCTGAGACTGTACAAATCGAAACACGATTGAAAATATCTATTGCCAGAACTGAGAAAAGGAATCGGCTCCTGTGTATCGTATGGTTTGAGAAATCGAATGGCCTTACTGTAGAAGAAAAGTGTGTTGCAATTTATTGTGACATTCTCTGTAGTTTGTTACAAAATTCACAGGAAGATAATCATGTATATACCAGTTTGTGGGTTAAAACTCATGAAATTGCACATCAAAACACCCCTTCCAAAGATCAGGTTTCTAATCTTAGTTTGCTTCACATGTGCTTCGCTCATCCCAATTATTATGATCAAAATCGTTGAATAAACCGAGCTTTTGAATGACGTGCTGTAGTGGTTAATGTATACTTACCAGTTTTTTTTATAAGGGAGGCCTATCGTATCCCCAGCCGTGATCCAGTAACGCCGGAGACCACGGTGCCAGCAAGGAAGAACTCCAGATCCAATGAGCACTGGAGTTGCAGAAGGTCTCAAAATATATTGAATCATCGGATCTTCCTAAGAAATTCATTCGTCGGATAAATTGAACACTTCAGCTGTAATGTTGCTGTCGAGACAGTAACCAGCATGACCGATTGATCCTGGTAATGTAATAAATGCACTTACCATGGATGCGACTTGTTGGTGTATGGGTACACATTCATTTATTTCCATTATACCTTAATGTTACAGAAAACAAGTGAAATGAACTGACTTGCTCAGTAAAATTTTAATTTTTGAACCCGTAGCAGAATTACAAGAAGCACATCACATGCGTCCCTTCCCCGGCATCCGTGCCCCGTTGTAGACTGCCCCTTCAATACCTTCTTTAAAAAAAAGGTGCATCCCACATGTGTCCTCGCCACTGCTTTATCTCCCTGGAAAAAAGTTAAAAAACGCTTGAATACTGTAGAAAATTGCACATTCGGGCATTTTAACGGGGGGTGATTGAGGCAAGATTTGACATTTTGTTGACAGCTTTTGCAAGGGCTAACTACCACTGAATATTAAAACAAGCACTGAGCCGGAAATTTTCTGATGATGATGCAAGGAATCAAACCATGCTGGGGAAAGGGAACTTAAAAACTATAAATATTTCTATGATCCTAAACGTTTCCTTCCTCGTTAACCTTCTAACTTTTATATTATGACTGGTAATTTAAGGCTAAAAAGATGCTTCATATCCCATTCTTTAAGAGCCGGGGCAGAATCCCCCCCCCCATTTTGTCCAATATCGCCGAAGTGCTTTGTTTTTCAGGAGCCACCCTCAGGGAGTTTAAAGAGTGACTTTTAGCAGTTTTATTTTGACACCGGTTTTGTGACTAGGAAACCAAACTTACTGTTGTTTCACAGCTCTCATTATTCCGAGACAGGCCAGCCAAAATAGTTTATATTTTTTTCCACTGCGGTGCATGCTCCATGCACTTTACGCAGGCCGTATATAGTGGCACGCCGTGCAGCCTTGAACTTCAAATGACCAAAACTGTTTGTATTATTGAGTTCAACCTTCACAGCTGGAATGACACAGAGTGTCTTTACATATCATTCAAAGTTTGAAAAAATTCAAGCGTGGCACCGCCAAGATATTGGGGGTCCCCCTCTCCGCTGTGAGACAGGCCAAAATAACCCTGCTCTTTGAGGGTAAATATTGGCAACAGATTGTGATTTGCAAATTTTTATGTTGAAACTGTGTCGTTGGTTGCCTTCAATAATGATTTTGACATAATACTTGACCTTGAATTAGATTGCATGGAACAAAATATTTTACAAGTTTTTTATCAGTTGTTATTTATATCTGAAAAGGAAAAAAGAAGTGCAGTGAAAACTTGTCGGCTAACTGACATTTACGATAAAAAAAGGTAGGTGTACATGTACTTCATACAAAACTTGAAATCGTTTTAAGGAGACCGTACACTCACGAACGCCTTCTGTCACGCCTTCTGTTTAATGTTTGTTTGTGAAACTCCAGTAATGTTGGCTTCCATGTTATAGTGCCCTGAAGTTTAGAATTAGTTCACTGCACCCTCGAGGATTTGTTTTTCGAACGAAGTTAAGTCCGATATTAAAACGGGAAACTTCCACTGGACGTTACGATTACTCTCCTCTCAAGGCTAGCAAAACCATTCACTTAGCTGGGAAAGATCCCCAGAGACATGTGAGACTGCAAAGTCTGAAACGACTGTTACGAGTTTAATGGGCAGGCTGAAAAGGGGTCAAAGGTTAACATTGTTATCAAGATCCAAAATGGCGACTGCGTCAGAACAGTTTGCGGCTGCTGTAAGAGTTGTGCAGAGTATGCCTAAGGATGGTATGTTTTAAACTCAGAGTCCATGCAGCAGATTAGTCTTTTTTCAAAGATTGGCTACCTTGGAAATATATAATCTTATTGAGAATTGTAAGCAAACAAATATTAATAATTATTATTCTAATTTTTGGCCCATTTTCCGGACATGCTGACTTGGCTCACTTTGGCAGCGCTTTACGAGGCATGCCAGGCTTTGGTCCGGCTCAGCCGAGGTTGGACGCCAGTCTTCATTACGTTACAACTAAAAACTGATAGTATACTTGTACAACTACAATAATCAAAATAATAGAGAGAGTCCATACCTGGACATCACTCATCAGCACTTGACACCCTGCACACAAACCGGTCAGTCTAGGACCTAGTACTTGCCCCAGGGCCGGCCCTATTCACATGATTCATGTGTTCATTGTCATGTCTATAGGCTAATGACTGTACTAATTTGTGCAGAGGAGCATCAACTGTTGTCCGTATATAGAGCTCTTTCTGGCCACAGCATGATAGGTTTGATAAGGTTAGGCCCACTAACTACCTGACTACTAGTAGGGCTATCAGCATGATAGGTTTGATAAGGTTAGGCCTACTAACTACCTGAATAGTAGGGCTAACTGTTCTACAGTATTTTCCCTGCTACATATGTAGATTGGACTTTCTTAGTCTTTGATCTTGGGTCTTTATGAAATATTACCACCTTCTCGTGGCTAATAAACAACTGCAGGGTGAAATTAGTGACCTCTGTATATGGAACTCTGATTCTAAGTGTTTTCTATTTGAATAATTCAATATTTTCACTGTAATTTTGATTATAATTTAGGACACTTTTATTGCATTCAGCTGTCAGTTTAGCCTTCACCGTAAACTAGTGGTGTCCATTCATACAATTCTTTCTGGTTATAATGTTTGGATGCTCGAGAGAGCCTAACGCTCATTGCTACTAACATGACAGTACTAGTCCCAGACCTAAATCGCAAGGCCAGTTTAACTGCTAGACTATCTCTGTATCCATGAGCCCCATAACTAACCATACACGTAGCTATGAAAGTCTGTCTATTTTTAAGTATTATTATTTTTATATTTGGATGTGCCAATGGAAAGAAAATTTCTGTATTTTTTATGATGCAGACAATAAAATTTCTAATCTAATCTAATTACATGTAAATTCCTAAATATTTATATACACAGGGTAAATTGGTTCAAATTTAAAGGTTTTAATTTTTCCTGATAGGACTTGAAGTTTAATGGGGAGGAAAGCAGGGAGAATGATCCATGCAATGTTTACCATTCCAGACTTATGACAAATCTCCCATCATCTGATCAACCTAAAATTCCAAAAGCCTTTGACATTATATCAAAGCTAAAGTTGTGGCATTATAGACTGGTTTCCATCAATTTCTGTTGCACCAGTGGTGTCAGCTACAGTACTGTACCATGGTGACTGGAACCAGACCAGTCTCTAATAGATGGTCTGCATACAACACACTGGAAAAAAAGTTACATTGCCTGGACCTTTTAATCAATGGCAAATAGCAGCCATCCTTTACCTCATGTAGGTACATGTTCATGTACTTTTTATTTATATGTACTTGCAGTATGCCATGTATACAGTCTTCCTTGAATGTGTTGTAAACAGTTATCAATTTCCTTTTATTATTTCAGGGCCATTCCAGCCATCCTATGAAATGAAGAAACGTTTCTATGGGTTATACAAGCAAGCAACAATAGGTCCTTGCAATGAACCCAAGCCAGCATTCTGGGAAGCCATTAAACGAACCAAGTGGTATGTCAGCACACAGGGCTAGGCCATCATCCACCATTGGCATCATCTGTGTGCCATCTTGGCCTGATATTTGGAGCCCTGACTTTGTAGATTGTAGTTTAGAACAAGTCTTTTCATTTGGCTACAGACTGAAGCTGGTTTTAATGGTTTAAAACTACATCTATGTTCATGTAAGCTTTTCCTGAAGGCCCAAGATATACACATGTAGACTATGACGTAATGACGTCGTGCTTTATTTACATGTGTGCTTTCCATTGGCAGTTAGGTGTTACATAATCCACCCCGTAGTTGAAAGCACAAACATAAACAAAGCATGATATCATTATGCTTTAGGTTGATTGATCCTGATGGTATTGCAGGAACCGGGCACCCTAGTACAACACAAATGCTATGTTTCCATGAATGAAATAGATGGAACCATGAATTAAAGGGCAAAATAAACCGTGTGTGATAAATTGAATTGGCTTTTCCATCTTACCCCTAATGGTCATCAACAAAGATCGTATAGCGCCGCTGAACTTCACAGTGAATACACGTAAAATGTTGTAATTGCATGGGCACCATTTGAGCAAGCGATATGCCTGCGTAATGCACATTAATGCAAAGACGCAGGCGCCACGGCAGCCACGTGCACCTGGTGAGCCTGCGCCTATGCATTACTGTAAACTGTGCAGGCGCATCGCTTGCTCAAATGGCGCCCATGGTGATTACACCCTTTGGGCAGAGTTATCCATCTTGCACCTTCGGCGCTATACGATCTTTGGTCATCAACAACCTTTGGTTATAAAACATTGAAATTACTGAATGTGTACATGAGGTTCCATGTGGCTCCAAGTTCATTGTAAAGAAGGATATTTATTTATAAGGAGTGATAGGACAGTCATAGCTAAACATGATCACATTGTGAAGCTATTGCATTACTTCCCATGAGGCTTGTATTTGAATGTTTCCAACTGTTTTTATTGTTTGCTACTATTAATGTGTAAAAGTTGTTTCCATTTCCCTTCATTTGTTAGGGATGCTTGGAAGCAGCTTGGTGATATGCCCAAAGAAGAAGCTATGGAAAGCTATGTCACCGATCTGCTCAAGGTTTGTATACTGAAAAGAAAAACACTCACTCGCTGAAGATATTTTTGTGTTGCATGTATCAAGGAGAGTTGAGTACAGTGTAGTTGTGATGTGTTGAAATCTCTTGTCATGCACTGTTTTTAGTTCTTGCTATGTCATGTTTTGGCCATGCAGGTAGCTAATGTCTTTGGTCATTTATGTAGTTTGTTGGCAGTGAGTCGGAGTGAAATGTGGTTGTTCCACAACTGAAATGTTGTACAACTGAAGGAATCTCAAATTGTCCCACTCATGGGATCAGCTGGTCCATTGGGTGTATTTAAACACCTTCACGTACAAAAGACGTTGTATGCTTCTGTATGCTAACAATGAACATTTTTTCTCTGACAGTATACACACAAAGTATGTGATGTACAATATTTGGTAATTGAAATGTTGAATGCAAAATTTCCATTATCAAAATGTTCTGAGTGTGTACTTATTGTAGAGCTGGTCATTTCTGTTTGAAAAGTCAATACTCACTGTGATGACTTGTTTAAAACCTGTTTGCCATATATCAGCTGGATCCTTTTGGGTGGCTTGTGAGTTGTCAATATTACATTACCTTTTTTATTTAGGCTCCTCAAATATTCTGAGGACTCAAGGAAAGGCTTCTTTTTGTTATCAAAACATCACAAGCAATTTAATTTTTCCCTGACTGGCGATTAAATCGTAGTCATGCTTTGTTTTTCATGCACTTGTTTCTAGGCAATGATGAAAAACAAGGACAGAGACCCAGCTGACATACAGAATGTGAGTCTTTCTGATGGATGTCACAAACGTTATAGTCTTTAATGTAGTCTCACTGTCTGCTTGTGAGGGCAGCATTTACATAGTCATATTTGGAAACCAAGAACAAATGTATCTTGCTGGAGGGACAAAGCAAGGTTTTTCTGGTGAAAAAGCTGTTCTTTATGAAGTTGGTTTTATTTGAAATCTTTATTTCTGATTGATTCAGTCCTATCCACTTTTCTGAGAGTTGCTAAATATCCCCCTGATTTTCTCTTTTTGTAAAAGAAAAAGTTGTTAGAATTTACTGTCAAAATCATATCATTTTCTTTCACGCACTTTTTCTCACAATGTGTAACCTGTCTTGACTTCTGAGTGTTAAACCTTTCATTTTTGTTGATATTGTATTCATGGACACTTTGCATGTACTTGTACCACTCTAGTTGAGGATGTCGCAATTCCTTTGTTGTTGACGAAATTGTTATGTGTTATCATTTCAATTTTTTCAAGCTTATGCACAAACATTTTATGCCATTCACCAGAAATGCAAAACTTATACTTGACACCACAGGTCCTCGGTGAATAAATCAT